ACTAGAGATGCCAACACCATCAACAGAAGCAGCAAGATGAGTAAAATTAGCCGGGACAAGGAAACAAAAAATTCAAAACAAAACGAAGTTGTGGGGAGGAAGCCCAACTTAACTATGATGCCCTTGCTGGACAGAGGGAGTTGGTGGGAGGGAAGGGATATTCTCCATTGGCCACACAAGACTATCACCCAGCATGCATTTGAGTTGAGATGCTTGCTTACCCAGGCTGGGGGTAGTGTGCTGGCAGGGCAGGGAGAGGGAAGGAAGAACTGACCAAGAGCCATGTGTACAGACAAATGAGACTTAGCTGTGCCTTCAAGGAGTTTACAGTTTGAGGGGTCAAGATAGGAAATATAAACAAACCACTGAAGTAGAGTGTAATAAGTTCTGTAATAGGGGATGCAAGTGTCTTCAAATTTGTTCTCTTTTAAAGAATAGAAGCTATAGGTAGAGCTTGTGCAGCATGAGAAGTCACTTTCAGAGCAGTCTAATCGAGGGAGCGTCTCAGGAAAGGAAAGGCTGGATGGAGTGTGTTGTGTAGAGCAGCGTTTTTCAACCGCTGTTCCGCGGCACACTAGTGTGCCGCGAGATGTTGCCTGGTGTGCCGTAGGTGCAGACAAGACAAGAATTTTATAATTTTTCACTATTTTGTTTACTTAATATTTCATAATAAAGTAATTATAAAATACTTTCTTTGTGTTTATTTGATTCCTATTCAAGAGAATTACTTTATATATAGTAAATATAGGCACAGAGTTAAATTTTTTAACATTTTCTAATGGTGGTGTGCCTCGTGATTTTTTTCATGAAACAAGTGTGCCTTTGCCCAAAAAAGGTTGAAAAACTCTGGTGTAGAGGAGACTGTAGTCCACATGTGAAGGTAAACCAGATGGCCTTTAAGTACTTCTAACCTCACCAGTCTGTGACCCCTAAGTCCATTCCTTTTCCTTGGCCTGAGGATGACACCTATAAAATGAAGAAGGTTGGGCTAAAGATCCTAATGTTTCTATTCTGTGCTATCTGCCAAATTTAAGTTAGTGAAATAAAATTCCACTTGGAGGACTTGATGGAAGATCCTATAATTGCTGATAAAGGGAAATGCACTATCTCTCACATGAACTTGAATAGAATCCAGGCATGAGACTGGATCACTTTGCTTCCCAGATTAAATCCCTAACTTTTTTTTTTTTCCCCCCCAATCCTCATCAGAGGATATTTTCACATTGATTTTTAGAGAGAGTGGAAGGGAGGAGGAGAGACCGAGAGAGAGAGAGACACATAAATTGGTTGCCTCCCACATGGCCCCAACCAGGTCCAGGGATCGAATCTGCAACTGAGGTACATGCCCTCTACCGAATCGAACCTGGAACCCTTCAGTCTGCAGGCCAATGCTCTATCCACTGAGCCAGGAACTAAATCCCTGACTTTCTTCTACAGAAGTGGCAGACCTCCACATTGCTAATTAAGTGACAACAAGTTGGCTACCTCAGTTCTGAAATCAGAAAATGAATGGAGTCTGGGGAAGAGAGATTAATTTTCTTTGGAATTGGGAAGGATTTAGGGAAATGCATATTAACAAAGATACAATATTAAAGCTCAATATTTACAAATCCCAAAGAAGCTTTTAAGGATTTAGGGATTTATCTTTGACTTTTAAAATCAACTTTTCATGGCTAGTCAAATACCAATGACATTTAAAAACTACGGAGAGCTGGGACCGGTTTGGCTCAGTGGATAGAGTGTCGGCCTGCGGACTGAAGGGTCCCGGGTTCGATTCTGGGCAAGGGCATGTGCCTTGGTTTCGGGCACATCCCCAGTAGGGGGTGTGCAGGAAGCAGCTGATCGATGATTCTCTCTCATCGATGTTTCTAACTCTCTATCCCCTCTCTCTTCTACTCTGTGAAAAATCAATAAAATATATTTTAAAAAAAATAAAAACTACGGAGAGCAGTGAGACAGGCACATACACATTGCTAGTGCAAGTGTAGATTGATAGTCTTTCTAGAAAGCAGTGTGACAAAGTATGTGAAGACTGTTAGCATGTCACTTCTTATCACCTTTCCCGCTCTAGCCCTGATCTGAGCCCCATCTCCTGTTGATGACAGATGTTTACAGTGGCTTCTATGCTTCCCCTCTTATAGTCTCTTTTCAGCACAGCAATCGGAATGACCCTTTTCAAACGTAAGTCAGATCATGTTGTAATTCTGCTCAGTATCTCATGATGACTGTTCATGTCACTCAGAGTAAAAATTGAAGTTCTTATAGTTTATAGGGCCCTACATGAACTAACTTCTACTACTACTTTATCTACTCTGACCTCTACTACCACCATTGTCCCCCTCACTTATTCCCCTCAGCCGAACTGGCCTCCTTACTATTCCTCAGACTTATCCTGTATTCTCAGAACTTAGGGCCTTTGCACTGACTGTTTCTTTTGCAGTGAGTGCTCTCTTTTCAGCCATGCTTGGTTAACTCTATTTCCTTCAAGTCTTTGTGAAAATCTTATCTTCTTAAGGTGTCTTAGCTGGTTACCCTATTTAATAGTGCAATGCCCACCCTCAGCACCATTGCACTTCTGATGCCCTTTTCTTTTTCATAGCACTTAAGTCTGTGTTTATATTTTATCCACTGCCTTTCACACCATCTTAGAACCTAAGCTCCAAGAGGGCAGGGATCATAGTGTCGGCATAGAATAGAGACTCAGATATTTGTTGAATGGATGGGCTTTAAAAATACTAGCTGTCTTTTGACCTAGAAATTTCATTTCTAGAATTGGTTTCTAAAGAAATAGAGGTGCAGCTAAAGATTTATTTAGGTTCCCGTAGCTTATTTGTAACAAAGCAATGTAGCAAACAACCTAAACATCTAAAAATAGAGTAATTCCATTGATTTGGCTAAAAATGGAATATTATAAAGATATTAAAATGTTTTTGAAGAATGTGTAATTATTGATACATGGAGAAATCTTTATAATGTTAAAGTGTTGGAAGGCAGAATATAAAATTACATATATCCCTACCTCACACTTTATATAAAAAATGGATCAATGATTTAAATATAGAAGCCCAGACCATAAAACTCTTTGAAGAAAACATAAGGCTAAATCTCTATGACCTTGGATTTGGTGATGGATTCTTAGATATAACACCAAAAGCATGAGCACAAAAGAAAAAATGGTACATTGGACTTCAAAATTTTAAAAATTTTGCACCAAAGGCATTATCAAGAAAGTGAAAAGATAATCCACTGAATGCGAGAAAATATTTGCAAATTATATATCTGGTAAGGGTTGACTATTCAGAATATATAAATTCAGTAACAAAATAACTCAAATTTTAAAATTAGTAAATGTTTTGAATAGACTTCTCTAAAGGGGATATACAAATGCCAGTAAGCATGTGGAAAGATGCTCACCTCATTAAGCATTAGAGAAATACAAATAAAAACCCCAATGGAATACCACTTTACACCTTTTAGGATGCCTGTAATCAAAAGTAACTAGTGTTGATGAGCATGTGGAGAAATTGGAAACTTTATGCATTGCTTGCGGGAATGTAAAATCATGCAGCCACTGTGAAAAACAATGTGATGGTTCCTTAAAAAAGCTAAGCATATAATCATTGTATGGCCCAGCAATTCTGCTCAGCATATACCCAAAAGAATTGAAAACAGGACTCAAAAAGGACTTGTATCCCAATGTTCATAGCAGCATTGTCCACAATAGCCAAAAGGCAAACAAAAACTTACATGTTCATCAACAGATGAATGGGTAAATAAAATGTGGCCCGTACATAGAGTGGAATATTATTCGGGAGTAATAAGGAATAAAGTTCTGATCCATGCTACAACATGAATAGACCTTGAAAAACATACTAAGTGAGAGAAGCCAGACACAAAAGGACAAATAGTGTTTGATTTTGTTTATAGAGACAGAAAGTAGATTAGAGGTTAACGAGGGGCTACAGGGAGAGGGAATGGAAAGTTACTGCTTCATGGGTACAGAGTTTCTGTTTGGGGGTGATTAAAAAGTTTTAGAAACACATAATGGGGATAGTTGCACAACATTGTGAATATAATTAATACCACTGGATTATACACTCAAAATGACTAAAATCGCAAATTTTGTTACATATATTTTACCACAATAAAAATTTTCAAACCCCCCCCCCCACCATAAAACACCTGTGTAAAATGTGCAGTGTTGGGCTTCACCTAGCTTATGCAAGTTCTCTAGAGCCAATTGTGAGCAACACTTCCCAACTACTCCTTCAGTGATGTTGGTAGCTTGAAATTGACCAACGTAGGAGTATTTATATGATGAAACTTCACAAATGCTACAAAACAGAGCTTCACTTAAGTATGTACCTGCATACTACTAAATATATGCATATAAAAAATAGATAGGCCGGGACCGGTTTGGCTCAATGGATAGAGCGTCGGCTTGGGGACTGAAGGGTCCCGGGTTCGATTCCGGTCAGGGGCATGTGCCTTGGTTGCGGGCATATCCCCGGTAGGGGGTGTGCAGGAGGCAGCTGATCGATGACTCTCCCTCATCGATGTTTCTGGCTCTCTGTCTCTCTCCCTTTCTCTCTGTATAAAAATCAATAAAATAAAATAAAAATAGATAGAAAATTGTCTGGAAGGATAGCTGCCAAACTGTTATTGCCTCTAGGGAGAAGAATATCGTAGCCAGAATACTACAGAAAACTTATACTTTTTATCATACACACTTCTATATTGTTTCAACATTTTTACAGTGAGCATATAGACATATATTTCTTATACTGTGTTGTTGTTTTTTTAATGGATAGGAAAATCTGCATATGATGGGATTGTGATGTGGTGGCTTTTCTTTAGGGAGGGTAAAAGCTAATCACATATACTGTCTGATGTGGCCAATGAAGAGGCTAAAGGCCAAGCCTGGGACCTGGATTCTGTTTCCTCAGAAATATGCTTTGCTTCTTGCCCAACTAAATGGAGCTTTTCTTGTCTCTTTGTAGGTTACCCCACAGCCTATCCAGCAGCAGCCCCTGCCTACAACCCCAGCCTGTACCCCACCAATAGCCCCAGCTATGCTCCAGGTAAGGAGAAAGTAGAGATAGTAGTGGTGAGGGGGGTAGGAAGTGGGATCTATTGAGAAAAACAGACCCACCTCCTGGCTTTTCCCTGTTCTTAATTACTCTGGGCTCAGCCTGTCCAATATGATTCTCCTGGGAGTTCCCTCTGAGAACTGGGCAGTTCAGCCTTAGGGTGGGGGCAGGAGCAGAATCTCCTCCATTTTACTTGGGGCTTAAGATTGACACATTTCTCCTCTGTTGGAATATCTGAGACATGCATCCTTCTCACAGAACCTTGTCTGCTCTCCCAAACAACGTCCAAATCCTCCATTCTTTGCTCAGTTGCCTCTGAAGGTGTCATTAGAAACACACACACACAATCTCTCTCTCTCTCTCTCTCTCTCTCTCTCTCTCTCTCTCTCTCTCTCTCTCTCTCTCACACACACACACACACACACACACACTGACAGACACACTTCCCTCCCTCCCTCCCTCCCTCCCTCTCTCTCTCTCTCTCTCTCTCTCTCTCTCTCTCACACACACACACACACACACACACACACACACACACACACACTTACTTTCTGGGTGTGTGTGGATTTGGAAGAGAGTGAGAGACTTGCCACCAGGGGATAAAGAGCTGGTTTTCAAGCTGCAGCAAATAACTTGTTTTTCAAAAATCATGAAGAGCCAACACTCCTTGGATAGAAGTTGAAATAGGTTTGGAAATGCTGAAAACGTCCTAGTTTGGGCTAGGAGCAGTACCGAGGTAGCCTCACTGCCCTGGCTTCCACACGCGGCTGGTGCTTTAGCACTCGAGGGGCAGGAGAAAGAGTGTGGGCTCTGCAGTTAGTCCCGGGTTTGAATCCTGATCACTCAGCTCACTAGTTGTGAGGCCTTGGACAAGTTCCCTGACATCTCTGAGAAATGTGCTGCCCACCTCAGGGTTGTAGATGTTTTATGTAAGTTCCTCTTCATTTACTCAGCAAGAATTTATTGGTTGAATGTTTTCCACACCGGGATAGAGAAAAAGAAAGGATGCCATCCTTGCCTCCGTCCATTTGGCATATGAACAAATTCTGGTTGTGCAGCTCAGCGTGATGAGTATTGTAGAAGGAATACAACTAAGAAGAGAAAAGGCAGAGAAGGGAACAACAGTCTGCCGGAGATGAGAAGTGTGGGAGAGGCTTGAAGAAGAGTGTAGCATTGGAGGCCCAGCTGAGGGTGGAGGCCGTGAATCTGTCCAGACTCTGTTCCCAGGCCTGGGCTATTTCCGCAGGATGTTCAGAACTTGTGGTGAGAGATTGTGGAATTGTTTTAGGATTCGTTTGGCCAGAAAGTAGAGGATAGGAAATAAATAGCTAGAATTTGTTGAATGGTTCCTATGCTCCAGGGACTATTTTGAGCTCCTTATTGGACATTAACTTCGTTTATATCTCAACAAACCTTTGAGGTTAGTACTGTTGCTATTCCCATTTTTCCAACTGGGAAAACTAAAACTTTAGAAGTCAGGCAACCAGCCCAAGATCCAAGCCCAGGCGTCCTGCCACCACACCTGCATGTGCTCTTAACCACACATTTCACTAAGACCTGGCCAGAAAAAATTGAGGGTTAGACTAGAGCAGCCAGACCAGAGAGCGAAGGGAGAGCAGATGGAAGGAGCTGAGCTTGGTGGTGGGGTGGGGGGAGCAGGCATTGGAAAGCTCTTGGCACGTATAAAGTACCAATTAAACTTTAGTTTTAAAACAAAGTATCAGCCCTCATCAAACTTGATTTTCCCCAATTTTGAAAAGCCAACATATTTCTAAGCTGTGACTAAACCAACCCAAATCATTTTCTCAGAAACCTACAAAATCCATTAGAGAGGATGAGATGAGCTCGTTGTGTCAGAAAGCCCCAAATCGGGGAGACCAGGTTTGTACACATCCTGGCTGCCTGGTCTGTTTCATATTCGGGAGGCTGGCGTCTGGCTCCCCAGGCTGCGGACTGCAGTGGGGAGCTCCTGCTGCAGGGAACTGGCTGGCTCAAGGACAGAGCGGACACTGTCGGTTACTTCCAGCTTCCTGCCAGCGCCTGCCACTTGTGATGCTGAGAGTTGCCTGTGGGATAGAAACCTGCAAAGGAGCCAGGCTCTCAGATTTAAATTTCTCTCCGCTTCTTCAAGGAGACCAAAAAGTTGCTTTAGAGAGAGCTATTTTTAGCAGCTCTGAGTACCCTCATATGTCATCTGTCCAGGATACAGGGCAGCATTTCAATGGTCTGAAGGCAGTGTAGGTACTTGGAACTTTCCCTCCCCCAAGCTCTTAATGACTTTGGGGATCTTATTGAAGAACTATATGGCCCCCCAAGAAGCAAGAGCCAACTGACACTTGTTTTTGGAATCTGGAGGCCAAAGGATGTGTCATGTTGTCATATTAATGGTAATCTGATTTGAAAGTGAAAGGAAAGGATAAGTAAAGGAAAGTGAAAGGAATGGATAAGATAAGGATGAAATACTGTCTCACAAGAAATCTGTTTTATAAATCATTTTCATCGATTGTTTCACTTGATTTCATAGCAGCCTTGTAAAGTGCAAGTGTATTTTTCCTATTTGACGTGTGATGATCCTGGGGAAAGGATTTGTGTTTACTAAACACCTGTCATCTTCCAGACACTGTGCAGGGCATGGCACACTTTCATTCTACCTTAGTCTTGTAAGGTAGAGCTTCTTGTCTCCAGTTTTGCTCAGGGAGTTAAATAACTTGTCCAAAGCTGCTCAGCTAAAAAGCAGTGGAGCTGGGATTCAAACCCAACCTGTTTGAGCCCACAGCCCGTGCTCCTCCTCCTGCACCACATTTCCCAGAAGCCTCAGGGCGGAAAATGCCTTTGCATTGTCTGTAGCTCTCACGGGCTTTACAGAGAGCTCTTCAGAGGCCAAAATGATGATTTTGTGCCTGAACCTTCATGTCCTCTAGCACATAATCTCTGTCAGGGGTGAAGTCCCTCTGCAATACTTGGGAGAACTGAAATTTATTCCTAGCATGGACAGGCAAAGCGTGGGACCCTGGTCTTATTCACCTCCAGGCCGCTTCTGAGTCCGCTGCTGGGAGAGGTCATCGCATCCAAGGAGGTGCCCTCAGTGAGTGGGCTTTTCTGGATGGCAAGTCTGTCACTCCCTCCGGGGTGGAGGCCGTCCCACCCTCTGCACTCTGTTTCTTGTGTAGCTTGGGGTAAACTGCTAACTTGAGACAAAGTCTGTTTTTTGTAACTGCAATGTGTACTACTTTGCACAGATTCTTAGTGGTAATTTCAACTAACATTTCTATCCAACAGAGTTTCAGTTCCTGCATTCAGCTTATGGTAGGAGAGCTATTTTTCCTCATATGTATTATGGCCTATGAATGTGTTATCTCGTAACAACGGTAGACCCCCTCTCCTGCCCTTCCCAAATCCCATCCCCTAGGCTTGGGCTCCCCCAGGTGGCTCAGCAGCAGTTCCTAACGCATGCAGGAACATGTATGATGGTGCAAAATCATGGGTTGGAGACACACATGAACCGTCCCCAGGGTAGCCCTGAAGGATCATGGCACTAAAAGGCGTCTCTCCCCTTCCTCACCTCCAGAGTCCCATCTGACCCAGGTCAGAAACCTTCACCATAACTGGCTGCTAAGTCCAAACAAGCGAAACAAAAATTTTGGGCTGCTATGGCTCCTTGTTGGCTTTGAGGCAGCCTCTTGGAGAAGTACCTGGATTATGCTTATAAGAACCAAAAGCAAAACAAAAACAGCCCCCAGATCAGATTCTTCATCTCCGTCAGCAGTCTGACATGTTTGAAGAACTGGTTGACTTGAGATAAAATCCGTTTCCTTCACCCAGATCTTGTGCTCTGGATCCTTTCCAGGGCATTTTCCTGAATGGAGAGAGGTGAGGGTCAAGTGTGCCAACATGAGTGAGAGACCAGAGCTGGGTTCTCTGGGGAGTGTGGACTCCAGGCCCAAGGCACCACAGGAACTTATGGGCACCTGTGAGGGTCCCAGCAATGTAACTTGACTAGGTCCTTTATGTCATAGACAGGAAGGGACCATGGGAGGGACTTGCCACTTTCACCACCCTCACCTGGGCTGCTCAGGACAGTGTTTTTATAAAATTTCTGCACACCTTCTCAACTTTTACCCTTAAATTACTTGGGTGCTGAATATTGAATTTGTGTGTGGCGCATCTTTCAGAAGATGAGCTGTGAAAATTTCTCTTTTCCACTGTCGTGTGCTGCGTGATCTTGGGCAATTTGCTAATGTCTTCAGGCTATAGGTAATATGTCTTATTCCACATGATCTCTGAGGTCCGTTTAAATGCTAACAGCCGGTCCTCAAATTTTTATTATTTCAATTTTGCTAGTTATAGACTTGTTTCTCCTGTCCTTTATCGGGAGTCACTTGTTTGCCTCAGGATGTATGAAGTTGGACAGAGGACTCAATAAAAAGTGGGAGACGCTCTCATGCTCCCCCATCCCTCTAGTTATAGCATCCACAGTTCTGTTCCAGGCCCTAAGCTGTCCTTTGAACCTACAAAGACCAGTAAGACAGGGGCCCTGTTATCAGTGAGCTCCCAGTTTAGTATCAGAGACAGAGAAGCCAGCTTCTAAGAATTACAGTGACCAGAAAATAGTGGACCATATGGGATCTGTGCGAGGGCTGTGGTCAAGGAGGGGGGGAAAGAAAAGACTAATAGTACAAATGGATGAGTCTTTAGCTCATGATTAATGAATCAATAAATGTTTACCAGTTAGCACTTGGGGAAAGACTGGGCCGACCATTGTCAGCAAAACTACAGAGATGTGACGTTCCTTGGCACTTTCTGGGAATGATAAACAGGTTTGTGTGGCGGTGCAGGGTTAGAGAATGAGAACAAGAGATCATAGGTCTAGAGAGATCATAGGACTAGATCATATGAGGCATGGAATGCCACACAAGGAGTTCAGCCTGTAGGCATTGGACCTCTGTGGAATGTTTTTTGTTTTGTTTTGTTTTTTTTTAAAAGGGTTTGTGATTCGGTTTGGGTCTTAGAAATAGCACTCTGAGTACAGCTTGGAGATTACAGTTGCCAGGTTTAAAAACAAACAGAACAGTGAGGAAGAAATGGCAGGAGTTCAGGTGAAAGATGAGAGAGCTTAAATTAGAGCTCTGTGGGATAGAAGAGTAAACAGATATCAGGATTAGAAACTGTAAGACTGGGTGATACTTTTTTTAATATTTAAAAAAAGTGATTTATAGGGAAAGGGGAAGGGAGAGGGAGAGAGAAACATAAATTGGCCGCCGCCCAGGCATGCACCCTTACAGGAATGGAACTGACAACCTTTCAGTGCTCAGGACGCCCCAACCACTGAGCCACACCAGCCAGGGCTCTGACGCTTTATTTTTGATCCTCACATCAATACTATGAAGTGATGGGGAAGGACTATTATTGCCATTTTAGAAGACAACAAAATGGAAGTTTAGAAAGGTTGTGACTTGCCCAAGGTCTCACAGTTAATAAGTGGCACAGCCCAGGCTAGAATTCAGATTTCCTGACTTACTACATTGTTCAGGATGGTGGTCCCTTGCTGCCTCTCCTCCTTGTGAGTGTGCTTAGCAGACTGTTCAGTGTCAGAGGGCACGAGGGCCCCGTATCCAGGGAAGTGAACAACCCAGCACGTGGATGTGGGCAGCATGCTGTGACTGGGCCATGGCCCTTCACTGCCAAGGGTTCTCTCTCTCTCACTCTCTCTCTCTCCCCCTCATTCTCTCACTCTTGCTCTCTCCTTTTTAAATTGAGGAATAATACATATACTATAGTATATACAGTGCACTAGTCTCAAATGGACAGCTCAGTAATATTTGACATATGTATACATTTTGTTTAACTACCACCCGGTTCAAAATACAGAAACCTTGCTAGGAGTTGGTACCTTTCATGGCACCCAGGAGCAAACGAGCCTGTCAGAGCAACTCCTCTGAAAGTTTGTCTTCATCCCACAACTGAGCTCGGAATCACTAACACCAACAGAACGGGCACTTTCCTCTTCCTTTGGAGGAGGAAGACCATAGGGCACAACGAATGAGGAAGCCAAGTTGACAGCTAACACTCTTTGTTGGTTTTAGTCTTCCTGTTTATCCAGTTATTTAAATTATTAAGTATTTAAAAATATAAAGAACTATATTTGTTTTCTTCATAATGAAACCAGAAGATACTCATTCTTCAGGAACATGTACAGTTTGGTTCACTTAATCACTTGGGAAAGACATAATCAAAGGCACAGTCGCACTTGCTTCTTTCTTGGTTAATCTGAAACATTATTTTCTGTGTGTAATGCTGTCTTGTTCACTCTCTGGTTGGCGTGTGGCTGTGTTGCATCCCCCGCTAGACCATAAGTACCTTGTGTGCGGTGACCATGACCCACGTGTGTTCCTGTCCACCGTGGCACTCCCCTCAGTGCTGAGCTCAGTAGGCCTCAGTCACTCTTTGGTCAATTTTGATTTATTTACTCTGTCACACAGTCCTTCAGGCTAATGTCAAGCTTTTGGCTTATGATGAAAATTACGGCACAGAATTCACCACTCGGGGAAACAGCTGGACCTCCAAATTCTCCAAATTCTCTGCAGCCAAATTCAGGCCTCCTGATAGTCCCTGTGAGGTCTTGAGGGCATGGACTTGTCTTTTTAGGGAGCTGTTTTGGGTGGGCAGAGCTATCCAGCCACATGGAGTGGCAGGTTCTAAATTTAGAGACATCTTGATAAGATTTTTCAGCACTAATTGGATCCTTTATTACTCCCTAACCCCCACTCGCCCCTATCCCATAAAAAGAAACCCAAGAGAATTATTTAAAACTGACTGCCCTCTCTACATTGTCTGCAAAGCTATGTCTTGATGTCCAGGAGAGGCCCTGGACACTGCATGGGATTCTGTTGAATCTCCATTTCTTTGGCCAGAATTATCCTTTTAGTGTCACCTCCCTGCCCATGATTTCCTTCTCATTTCTCAGCATCCACTGAATATATTGCGGGCCATTAATGCAAGCTCACGGTCAGCCCACAACAGCCACATGTATAGCCTTGGATCAGCAAAAACAGCAGTCCTTGACTTCCTTCTCTGGGCCTGGTATCTCATGACCGAAGGAACTGAGACGCTCCCAGTCCTCAGACAGGCGGGGGTTATGGGACCTCTCGAGGTGGGCTCTCCTTATCTGGTGGGATTAGAGTACAGGCACACTGCCCCTTGTTAAAATGTCTCAACACAGCCCCACCTTCTAATATTCTTTAAAATTCCCATGCCCATCACTCACAAGACCTTGTTTGAATAGAAGAGATACTCTTAAAATAATTATTTTTACTCTAAGTAGCAATTTGTGTCAGAATGTTTCCCCTCTAGTATTTGAAAGTATATCAAGGGAAATATCTAAAATGTTAGGCATTTCCCCCCTTTGAAACCCTATTTCCTCTCTCCTTCCCCACAGGATACCATGAAGGTAAGTTTTTTGTGTTTTTTTTTTTTTGTTTTTGTTTTTTTTTAAGTTATTCCCACTTCTAGAACATATGAAGCATCATCCTTCACATTTTTCAAGCTGAGCTTTGAGTCAGCCTGGCAAGTCTCTGTAAATTTCTTTCAAACTGGGCCTCATCTCTGTTTCACACCTACTCAGGTTTGACATTTACTTTCTTTTCTTTTCTTTTTTTAATATTGATTTCAGAGAGGAAGGGAGAAGGAGAGAGAGAGATAGAAACATCAAGGATGAGAGAGAATCATTTATCAGCTGCCTCCTGCATGCCTCCTACTGGGGATGGAGCCCACAACCCAGGCATGTGCCCTGACCGGGAATAGAATTTCAACCTCCAGGTTCAAAGGTCGACACTCAACCACTGAGCCACACCAGCAGGCAACATTTACTTTTTTTAATGGCCCAAAAGATCATCTCTAATTCACGAGGAGATATCTCAAAGTGAGGGAGGCACCAGTAGCACCTCAACAGGAGGTATAAAGGGTGTGCAAGCCATTTGTCTGTCTGGCCCTGGCTGGGTATATATGAGGAATTAGCAGGGAGTGCCCCGTTGGCCAGCATGGGCCGTCTAAGCTGCCAAAGCTCATTCCCTTTAAAAGAGATGGCAGTCTAGCAAGGTTCATGTCATATGGTAATTATTTGGGGGTTCTCTCTTTGAAAGCAACTTATTAAATCCAACTCCAGATGAGATTTCAGGCTTAAAGAAAGAGTACTCAGTTGATCTGGCCCAATAGACAGTCATCAAAGGCTCTGAGTTGCTACACACTCACGAGAAAGTGGCAAAGGAGTAGTCCAGGGCCTCAGGCCAGAGTGCCACACAGGAGGCAATATTCACAGGCGTCTTTGTGGTTTTGGTAGTGGGTAGAAAATTTAGACTCTCCTAATTTGATATAAATTCAGATTTCCTGGGGTAAACTTCATTTGGAAGCTCACTTTGGCACTCCTCTCAAAAACTACCCCGCTCAGAAAGGCTGGACCGTCCTGTGTGTCTGAACAGGCCCCTTGAGTTATATGTTTCCGTCCAGTCCAAGACCCTTACTTTGTGTCTGTGATTGGTGGTGCCCACTTCTTATTTCTGCCTAATGCCATTCTTGTGTCTTCCCTTAAGCAACTCTGCTGATGAAACAGGCCTGGCCACAGAACTCGACTTCCTGTGGCACTGAAGGCACCTTCCACCTCCCAGTGGACACCGGGACCGAGAACCGAACTTACCAAGCATCCTCTGCGGCTTTCAGTAAATACAGCCTGTCTCCTCCTTTCCTGTTCCCCTTGGCTGGGACTGATTTGTCTCTTAGGAAGAGAGGAAAGGGAACTTTTAAAAAGTGACGTTTATATGACACTATTTTAGGAGGTTCTCACTCACACAGAAAACTGGCCTTCCTCGCGTAGGCAAGGTCATCCTCTTTGATCATGCAACCAGCTTCGGGAGACACAAAGCAGTGAGGGAGAGAGAACGAAGTGCTCATCTGGCCAACACGTTTGATGAGGGAAGGACTGTCACTGTGTTTCAGGAGAAAGGACAGGGGGGGACATTTGAACACCTGCATGTGGACCTTAGACAGAGCAGGCTCCTCAGCTAAGCTAGCACAGGCGTTCTCACCCCGGGTTCTGTGGCATCTGGGTCAGATCACCCTTGTTGGGGAGCTTAGCTGCATCCCTGACCTCTCCTCCTGGGTTCCAGTAGCAGACCCTCTTGATGGCCATCAAAAATGTCTCTGAACGTTGCTAAATATCCCTCGGGAGGTCAGATTGCCTCTGCCTGAGAAATACTATGCTCATTAAGCTGCACTGTGGGAGTAAAGTATGTGCGTGGAGTCCTCGGGAGGGCAGACACGCTCTGGCCAGTCAGATTGTCGCATTCCTCTCGAGGCTCAGGGAGGTGTCTGGTGGTTTTACCTTCACATCTGATTTTTAACGCAAAATGGCTCCGCTGTGTAAAATGAGGATCAAAGTTGAGAAGTCAGTGGCATTTTGGCTCTTCGTAAGTAGAAATGTTGGAGCTGTCCAAAGAGGAACAGCTGGCCTTGGATGTGGTGAGTGCCCGTCTGCAGTTGTCCTAGCAGGGGGCTGGACAAGAACTGGGCGGGAGGTTGCAGACTAGGCCCCATAGTATGTGATTCAGTGGCTTGTTAATCTATTACGTATGTAGGTCAGAAGAGTACATGGTATGTTCTTTTTCTTTAAAATACCCAGTGTCATGTCTTCTTACTTATCAGTGCTCCTAGATGTCAACATCAACTGATGTTCTTATGTAACATAGCTCTCACCTTTTGGAAAATACTTTCATATCACCCTCATTTAATCTATACAGTAATCCTATTATTTGGGTAGATTTTTAATCTGAGTTTGAAAGCTGAGACTCAAAAAGGTAATATACCTGTTGCTATCCAATTAGTAAGCAGTACAACTACAAGAAGTTATCTCCATGGTTAAGTTGCTATTCCTTTTTTTTTTTTTTTCTTTCTTTTCTTTTTTTTAATCTTCACCCAGGGATATGTTTTGAGAGAGAGAGGGGAAAGTGGGGGAGGGGAGGGAAACATCAATCAGCTGCCTCCTGAACATGCCTGACGGAATTGAACCTGCAACCTAGGTATGTGGCCTGACCGAGAATCGAACCCTCAATCTTTTGGTGTATGGGACGACGCACCAACCAACTGAGCCACCCGGCCAGAGCACTATTACTTTATTTTCATGAGATGAATTGTACTCTTTAAGAGAGCGGTGACAGCAGTAGGAAATTTTACCAGATACCCATGGCATTATATATATGTACATGTATATGTGGCATATATATATACATATTTTTATATCTATATGTATGTATGTAGATGCTTATTGACACGTCTACTGTAGTGCGGCAGAAAGAGCCTGGAGTGGAAGACCAAAATAGTAGGATTTTAGATTTGGTTGTGTGTAACTTTGGATAATTCTTTCCACATTTTGGACCTTGGTTTTTACAACTGCAAGATAAGGGAACTGGACTAGGTCATCTTTAAGGTTCTCTCCAGCTGATTAGACTCCAGATTCTCATACTCAATATCTTCTACTCCAGCGGGGACCTCCTCCCTAGTTGCCCTGACCAATAGTTGGCTCCCTAGCCATTGCTCACACATCTCCAGGTATGGGGCACACACATTCCCTTCAGAGCCCTTTCCACAGTGAGAAAGTCTGAATATTAGAAAGTCTTGCCTTCTATGTTGAAATCTTTCTGCAGTCCAATTGAAATGTCCAGTATCCTACTACCCTCTCACAGTTTATCATAGTCCCCTCTCTTTTAAGCAAGAAACATATGAACCTGTGTAATTTTTAAATAGAGATGGAATTAACTGGCCCATACCTACACCCATTAGGGTTCCTCCCAGCACACAGATTTCGTGGCTTCTAAGGCCACAGAAAATTCAGGGCACTTGGACAAATTTAGTTACTTGCTAAGCCTGTTTGTAACTAGGTCTCCCTCCTACTTATTCAGTACTCCCTTGTTCATCTACCAAGGAGACTTGAGGGTCAAGGCAAGAATCAGATGTAGAGCTTTGTCCAGACATATAAATCTAGTGGTCAATAAACCGATTAGTCTAAGAGGCATCCTTGATGTGAGAATCAATGCCTTTGAGGGTAGAGGGCTCTAAGCTGGAGAAGATTTATGACAATGCAAAAGGATTGACAAGAGGACTTGCTAGTGTACTCACTCTCTTTATTATTCTGTTTGATGGGGCCTAAAGTTGTGGATAGGAACCTGGGAGAAAGAACAGGGTGTCATAAGCCTCTTTTAAGGCAAAGCTGGGACTCTCCTTTTTTCTCTCACGATATTGCCTTTAGTGGAATGATGACACAAATGTTAATATACCAAATGCCCAAGATTGGCTTCCAGAGACCTATAACTCATAAAAGAGTTCTGTCCAGAGCATGGCAAACCCTCAGCTCTGGGCCCAGCTCTGCACGGATTTGCTGTGCAGTTTTTGGGATTCTCTGCCCCTCTGGGCTCCAGGTTCTTCATCTGAAACAGAGAGCATTGAGTTCAAGTCTATTAGGTCTAGTAATAATTAATGTCGTTTTCTAATACTTTTTAAAATCAAATTTATTTAAACAATACAACAAAATTTAATCAACAATATAGTTGCCATTGTTTTCTACTACTTGTGCCCAACGCTCAGGAAGCATTTTAATCCCTCTGTTGTAAAATTCTTGTGATTTTGATACAAAAAATTCGGTCAATGCATTTTTGAGGCATTCTTCATTATTAAATTTTTTTCCAAGAAGAAAGTTTTGCAAAGAACGAAACAAATGGTAATCAGAAGAGGCAATATCAGGAGAATATGCAGGTTGAGGGAGAACTTCCCATTCCAACTGGCGCAGTTTTTCAGCAGTGATTCTTGCAGTATGCGGTCGTGCGTTATCGTGGTGAAGAATTACGCCCTTCCGATTAATCAGCGCGGGTTCTTTTTCTCTTAAAGCTTGGGCTAACCTTTCCAATTGGGCACTATACACTGCACTTGTAATGGTTTGGGTAGATGGTAAAAGTTCATAATGAAGAATTCCTTTAAAATTCCACCAAACACACAACATCACTTTTTTCGCATGCAAGTCAGGTTTTGGCGTGGGCTGCGGAGCCTCATTTTTGTCCAACCATTGAGGCCGCCTTTTCAGATTAACATACAGCACCCATTTTTCATCTCCGGTAACAATTTGCTCTAAAAACGGCAAACGGTTTTGACGAGAGAGGAGCAAACTGCAAATTGTGACTCTTTGATTACGGTTGTTGTCGGTCAACTCATGAGGAACCCATTTTCCAAACTTTTGGACTTTGCCAAGTGCACACAATTGATTGGAAATTGTTTTTTGTGAACAATTTAAAGTTGTCGCAAGCTCTTGTTGGGTAATTTGAGGATTTTGCACCAAAAGAGCTTGAAGAGCTTCTTGATCAAAATTGGACACACGGCCTCGACCACTCTTGTCATCTAACGAAAATTTCCCTCGCAAAATTTCTCAAACCAACGCTGGCATTTTCTGGCGCTAACTGCATCTTGACCAAGAGCACTACAGATGTTTTTTGCAGCCTCACTTGCTTTTCTTCCTAATTGGAACTCGTAAAGCATGCAGTGCCGAATATGCTCTTCATCCGCCATCTTCTTAGCCCTAGTTTTGCAACAAAAACCAAACCAAACACAAACTTTTTCAAGCAAAACTTGTTAATTGCACTTCACACGTTCTGTAGATACCACGTGTTTGAAGGTTATGTCAATACAAGTCAACGCCAAGCAAGATTTTAAACGAATGTTAAAAATGACATTAATTATTACTATACCCGATATAATGTTCTTAAGGCATTACATTCTTTTTTTTTTTTTAATATATATTTTATTGATTTTACACAGAGAGGAATTGAGAGGGATAGAGAGTTAGAAACGTCGATGAGAAACACCGACCAGCTGCCTCCTGCACAACCCCCACTGGGGATGTGCTTGCAACCAAGGTACATGCCCTTGACCGGAATCGAACCCGGGACCTTTCAGTCCACAGGCCGACGCTCTATCCACTGAGCTAAACCGGTCCCGGCAAGACATTACATTCTAAAGACCTAACTCTGACCTTCAGATTTAGGTAGAACTCCTTTAAGGAGTGTCAGGTCACCCTTGAGTGAGTTGAGTCTATATTCATTTTAGCAAAATGCATTAGTTTTTGTGTTTTTTTGTTTGTTTGTTTTCATCAAGCCCAGCAGAGCTTTTACTTAGATGCACAAAGCAATGACCCTGAATTCGGTGATGCTCAAGGTAGCCAAGGCCACAGCCCAGGGGATCTTCCAGTGATCCTCAGGCATGAGCAGGACCACCAGTCCGTTGTGGAAAGTCCTCTGCAGTGATTTCCTCTGCAGGAAAGTTTCACTGCAATACTCAGAGACTTAGAATGTCAGCACTGGGAAAGCCCCTCTAATAGTGTCTCATCTGAATGAGACTATGTCTTGAGAAAAGAATTAACCTGACTCCCTGACGGGGCCCAGGGCAGTTTCTGCAGCCTTCTGACAGAGACAGCAGCACCCTGAGAGCCTCTGTGGTCAGAGGACGGAGCCCTGAGTCCTGAATCCTTGCGAGCAGTCAAGCTCGCTCAGAATATGTTTAGTCTCTCACCTGAGACGTGTGTGTGGGTCCAATGATCTCGGAGGCCCCCCAGCTCCGCACTGCTGCTTCTCCCTGCTCAGACTGTCTGGACAAACAGGCAAGGCCTTCTGCAGCAGCAGCGTTTTGGCTGCCAAGGGTGTTTTGGCTACTGATTTGTATTCTGAGTGTGTGTGTGTGTGTCTTCATTACATAACATGGAAAAGAGAAACATTCTCAGACAAGGTTATTCTTAGATGTGGAAACCAAATTCTGCTGCCATCTCTCAGAGCCATTTGGTTTTCCTCAGAGGGATGATCTCAGCACTCTGTAAGGTAGCTGTCCTTGTGGTGAGGAGGGGCGAGTGCAGGCTTTCCCAGGGATCAAAATCCCAGAGCTGATTCTCCGGAGCATAAAGGAGAGTCACCGGTATTGTCGGCTTGTTAACTTTCAAGATTCATAAAATGATGGCATTTTAGACTGAGGCATTCTAAATTTTAGAATCTTAGAATCCTGGAGTCTTTTTCAAGTTGGATCATGCCAAGGCGGCCATAGTTTAACCTTCTATCTACTGTAGTCTTTCAGACCAGTCTCTGCTGGTATACCTCCAGGACAGGAAGCTCACTGTCTCTCTAAACAATGAGAGAAAAAGAATAGCTAACCTTTAGGAAGTGCTATTGGACACCATTCTAAGGGCTTTGCATTTATTAATGTACTTATCACAGTAGTAACCCTATGAGTAGGTTCTGTTATTATAGCTCCTCTTCTCCCCCACCCCCCTTCAGTTTACAGATGAGGAGACTGATATATTCTACAATTAAGTAGCAGGGCTGGGACTAACAGCCACTGCTCTGCCGGATAGCTTTCATCTTAGGGTTTGGGGGTGTCTTGCCCTCCTGTGGAAGAAAGATACTCTCCACTCTGGCAGGACTCCCCATACCTTGTTTTACCCTTTTAAATCATGAGTCAGCAAGATAATAAGTATTTTAGACTTTTCAGGCCATGTGGTCTCTCTCATAGCTAGTACTGGAGCAGGAAAGCAGCCATAGTCCATGTAAATGAACGGCATGGCTGTGTTACTATAAACTTTACCAAACAGGCTCTGGTTACCAAAAATTGCAGTTTGCCTGGTTTAAATGTAAATAGTATGGATAAAATATTCTGTGGTAAAATAAATTTGGGAATAATCTCCTGCATGTCCCTATTTTAGAGATTCACAGTTCATCTTGTCATTTTAAAACTTCTCAGGGCCATGTAATAAAAAACCCCAATCTACTTATCTCTATTTTATATTGCTGCTTTCTTTCTTTTTTTCTTGCAAAATAATGATTAAGATCCCTCAGAATCCTTGTGTACTCTTGGGATGTGCCCAGCCACCTTGTTTTACAGAAGATAATCTATGTCTCCAAGCCAAAATTCCCCTCAGATGGCTTCCAGAAGTCTGCAAAGCTAAACTCCCTGTTTTCCCCACATTTCTGCTTCTCCTCTAAACACTTCTCATGATTAGCTCCACAATCTAGAAACTTGGAGGAATCTGCTGTAGACTTCTTCAGCTGGCTTATACCACCCCTTCTAGCTAGTTCCCAGTTCTTATCAGTGCTCCCTTCTCTTTCTTGTATTCTTTCCCCTCCATCTTCTTTGCTACTTATTTCCCAAGTGTGTTTGACCACAAAATTGGTTTCTCATGGAACAAACTGTGGCTCTCCAGGAGGAAAGATAAATGACATGACTTCGGGGAGAGGACAGGACGTATTTTATGGTGTCTTTGTGGCAACTAAACAGCACCTCCCAGATCCTGCCAGCTCATCTGGAACTGGGGCACCAAGCCAGAGCTGTGATGTGGCCTGAGAGAGATTTGTGACTATGTGGCACTGTCCCTTCAGCTCAGAAAGGAGTAGAGTGTCCCATAAGACCTGGCCTTCTCAGCCCCAGGATCTCCTTGTGTAGATCTTTGAGTTCTGTCCAGTCATTCATTTGTGTTTCTTGTTCCTGAGTGATGCGTGTTTCAAGTGTTTGCTGTGAACACAGAATCTGAGTCTCTTCTCTGAAGAGTCAGGGGCAGCAGCCTGGTTGGTTGGCTAACAGTGAGTTTCTTAGGGTCTGACTTCTCAGCCTCCCCCCAGATTTTGTCTATTCTGCTGAGTCACCCGCATGGCCTGGGTTCCAAATTACTGTGGATCTTTGTGACCCCTGACTTCAGGCCTTCAGGCAGAGGTGGGCTGCCTCATGCCCCAGGGGGAGGGGGAACACCAACTCTAGAGAGCAAAGTGTTTCAGCATCTCTGAAGGCGAGGATCTTTAAATGGTGTTTTATATTGAGGTTTTGTTTGTTTGTTTGTTTGTTTTCATTGATTTCAGGGAGGAAGGGAAGAGGGAGGGGGGAGAAAGAGAGAGAGAAAAACATCACTGATGAGAATCATTGATCGGCTGCCTCCTGCATGCCCCACACTGGACATGTGCCCTGACCGGGAATCAACCACTGAGCCATGCCAGCTGGGCTGTATGGAATTTTCATCTTAAAACTTGTCACGGAGGAAGGGGACTATGGTGGAAGGAGAGATACAATGGGAAAAAAGAAATGAGAAAGGGGGAAATCAAGAAAGAAAGAAACAGCAGAAGATAGTCTGGGTGCTTAGTGAGGAGACAGAAAAGCAGCAAGTCAGAGAATACAATAAAGAGTGGGCAGGTTATGTAATACATTAAGCAATCAAGAATGTAAATTAACAACAACAAAAAGTTACACTATTAATGCATATATGTATAAAAAATAAAGTGAGCAGGTTGAGGGTCCCCCATCTGTGTGCACCTGCCACTCACGGCATGTAGCTCAGAAGCCCAGACCATCTGAGCTACCAGGGTCCCTTAAGAGATCATCTGCTCCCATCTGTTATTTTATAGACGAAAGCCCTAAGATCCCAAGACGTAAAAGATGCCCGAATTGCACATGCATCCCTGTGCACCAGGACTGAGGGAGCTGCCTCTGGGAACAGGGCTCTCTGAGTGGAGCCCCGCTCCCTGTCTGTTCTCATCTGTGTTTCCAGCCTGGATTCAGCCCATTCTTGTCCAGAGAGTCGTGACTGGAACCTGCTACCTTCCAGCGCTGCTGTTCTGCCAACTAATTGGAAGTCTTTCTTGTTGCCTTGGTACAGGATATACTGCGGGGACACCATACAAGGTCCCACCGACCCAGAGCAATACCGCTCCACCCCCCTACTCCCCATCACCCAACCCCTATCAGACGGCCATGTATCCCATCAGAAGTGCCTATCCTCAGCAGAATCTGTACGCCCAGGTAGGTGCATTGGAAGCCTGGGCCCACCTCTTCTAAAGGTAAAGGAGCACCAGCCTGAGGGGGTGGGTGGGTGGGTGCAGGGCAGAAAGAAAAGGAAGGCGAGCTCTGGTTCTGGCCAGCTGTCTTTGTTGTCATGGAAACAATATCCCTGCAGCCTGTACCTTCCCTCACTCCACCTCAGCCCCTGGGAGTGACACACAGTCACCTTGATTAACGGAGCCCAGAATGCAAGATGGGCAAGGGCTCTTGGAGATCATCTAGCTGCACTGCTTTTTTATATACAAACTAGAGGCCCGGTGCACGGATTCATGCACCGGTGGGGGTGTGCCTGCAGGGATCGGTACACTGTGGGAGTGCTGGTCAGCCCAGCAGCTGTGGACCTGCCCACAGAGCTCATCCCAGTCAGCTGAGCAGTGCTCCTCCCACTGTGGGAGCACACTGACCACCAGGGGCAGCTCCTGCATTGAGCATCTGCCCCCTGGTGGTCAGTGCGTGTCATAGTGACTGGTCGACCAGTCATTCTGGTCGTTTCATCGTTTGCTCGGTTAGATGGGAAATCCGAGACCCAGAGAGGTTACCTATTGGATGAGTCAGGATGAGAACTCATGTCTTGGGCATCTCTCCCTACCCCTCACATCCACTCTTCCTTGATAAAGTCTGTGAGCTTGAGTGGGGAGGACATGTTAATGCACAGGCTCTGCCACCAGTTTGCAGCTGTACGACCGACCTTGGACAAATAACTCTGAGTGCCACAGTGCCCCATCTGGTCTCCTTCAGCGAGAATGTTGTGTTCTGAGGGGATGGCAATGCTATAGTGACTGTGAGGCTTTAACACACTCAGGGCACATTTTTTTGGAGTGACAATTTTATATGAGGCTCTTTTTAAAAAAAATTTTATTTATTAATTTTTAAATATATTTTTTATTGATTTCAGAAAGGAATGGAAAGGAAGAGAGAGAGAGAAACCACAATGATGAGAGATAATTATCGATCAGCTGCCTCCCCTACTGGGGATGGAGCCTGCAACCCAGGCATGTGCCCTTGACGGGAACAAACCGAGGACCCCTCAGTCCGCAGGCTGACGCTTTATCCATTGAGCCAAACCAGCTAGGGCCAGGCTCTTTCTTTTTTTTAATGTTTTTATTGATTTTAGAGGGGAAGAGAGAGGGATGGGGAGATGGAAACAGACGAGAGAGAAACATCTATTTATTGGCTGCCTCCTGCATGCTTCCTAGTGGGGATCAAGCCCACAACCAGGCATGTGCCAGGCCTGACTGGGAAGTGAACTGGTGACTTCTTGGTCAACCACTGAGCCAACCTGGATGGGCTTACACGAGGTTTAAGTAATATGGAGAATGCCTTTTAAATATAAAAAACAGCTATATGGTAAAGAGCAAAACTTAAAAAAAGAAAACAATGGGCTTGAGATACGTGTTCCTTGTTTTATGGTAGGCTGCTTTGCACTTTGCTCTGGGGTTACGGACCACATTCTGAAGCTCTTGTCATTGTTTAGTAGAAAGAGTTGAGAAGCTCTGGATTAAGATGATCCAGGGGCCCTGCCTACTCCCCACAGGTCAGCAGGCCTGTGGGCTGTGGCAGTAGGAAGCAGCCATGTGGTCCAGGCATTTGGAAGTCACCTCAGACCACAGTCTCCATCCTCAACCTCTTTCCTAAAGGGAACAGGTGGTGAGAGAAATCTAGGGAAACGCTCTGCACTGGTGACATTCTTCCAGTGACATGGCGGCACTCACACCTGTGCGACACTCCCACTGGCCCAGTGGTTCCCAACCTTTTTTTGGCCATGCCCCACCTAAGCATCTCTAAAATGCTGATTCCCTCCCACCCCCGCCTGGACATACAATTCTTACTATCCACAAAGTCCTCCACGTGTGCGGACAGGGCCCTGGCGTTCACCAGCATGCCCACGTCCCCTTCACTCATTGGCTGCGGCCCCTGCCTTTACATGTTAGGCAGCGTATAGAACACATTGCAATAAAATGCAAGCATTTTAAAATGCCAGATCAGTGTTACAGGAGCAGAGATGTTACCCCACTAGATCATCCTTGCAGCTCTGCAGTTGGAGCCTTACTTTTCAGACCAGAAGCTGAGCCAGCACTGAATTGTCTTTAGTCGCACAGTAAGACAGAAGCGGAGCCCCAGCTGGGGCCCACACCCTGTGTCCCTGGTCCGTGCTTCCCTTAGGGCCTGGGAAGAATACCCCACCTGCTTCTCTCCACACCCCTGCCCCCCACCTTTAAAAGCCGTGTGACCTCAGCCTCTTCTCCCCCAGGGAGCCTACTACACACAGCCGGTGTACGCTGCCCAGCCCCACGTCATCCACCACACCACGGTCGTCCAGCCCAACAGCATTCCCTCTGCCATCTACCCGGCACCTGTAGCTGCCCCCAGGACCAACGGCGTGGCCATGGGCATGGTGGCTGGCACTACCATGGCGATGTCAGCAGGTAAGGGCCATCTTTGTATCAGTGTCCACTCATCCCCCTCCTCCAGAAACTCGTGACAGAGTAGAACACCATCATGGAATCAATGTAGCATCCTAGGAGAAATCCTGTGCTGGGGCTTCTGGGAAATAGAGGCGGGGGGGGGGGGGGGCTCTAAATCTGTCCGCAGGGATCAGGAAGATCTCACCGGGAGAGCATATTGTGCTGGGCCTTTAAGGGTGAACAGATGCTAGCCAGAGAAATGAAAGGGGAAAGGGCAGTCCCCTTTCACTTCTCTGGAAAGACCATGAGTATGGCGTGTCCACAGAGTGGAAATGGCCGAAGGCACTTAGGAAATAGTGTGTGAAGTTGGAGGGGTGGCTGGGAAGTGGGGAAGAGAATGCCTGTAGGTTGGAGAAGGGCGTTTAGGGGAGGAGAGATGGGCTTGAAACATCCCCTCTGGCTGCAAGGTGGGGGGCAGGATTAGATGTGGGGGCTGGAAGCACGTAGTGCAGAGGAGAGAGGATGGCATGAGCACTCGGAGGCAGCAGTGGCTCCCGGAAGGAGCGTGGCGATGTGACTTAGCAGCAGGAGCTGAAGGACCGGTCTCAGAATCAGTTGAAATGCACGGGAGAAGCAGGCGTCCAGGACTGTCCTCCACTTCTAGCTTACTCCACAGCGCAGACCTCCCCGCAGGGACCGGAGGAGGGGCGGGAGAGAAGCCAGAGGAAGAGCAGGTTTGGGAAGTCCGGAGGAGTGGGTGCTCCAGAGAAGAGATGAGGAGACGAGGGCTCCAGAGTCCCGGCTTCTAAAGAATCGCTGTCCCTTCTGAGGAAGCGAGCACAAGGGTCAGTGGGTGGGAGGTAGGCGATTGGGGTTTTATTCTGCCCCTGGTGGAAAGGTTGTTGAGCCTCTCATTTGAATGCTGCTCGGTGCCAGTCTTGTTCAGGTCCTGGGTACCAGGTACCAATAGCTCAGACCAGAGCCCTGGTCTTAGGAACAACTAGGATAGTGGGAAGCATAACCACATACGCAAGATACCCCTCCGTTAGGTATTTCTGCAGTGACAGGAGCATGCAGAGAGGAGGCCACTGGAGAGGGGTGGGCTCTGCCTGGAGCATCAGGACAGCTTTTCCTGAGGAGAGAGACCTGGCGAGTGGGGAAGGGCGGGGAAGGGCGGTCTGCTCATGGGCTGGGGGGAGGCGGGGCCTAGGCGGGAGCGGCTATGGGGGAGACCATGGCCGCCTCCTCTCCATCTGGGCCCTGGGATGGCCTCACCAGCTTTGCTCTTCTCTCTCTGGGTGCTCAGGTACCCTGCTGACTGCACCCCAGCACACCGCGATTGGGGCACACCCTGTCTCCATGCCAACATACAGGGCTCAAGGGACCCCTGCGTACAGCTATGTGCCACCACACTGGTAAAGCCTGCAGCCCATCCAAGTGAGTGGGGTTCGGGGTGGGAGGGTAGGAGGGCGGTGAACACTGGGACTGCTTCAGAATCCCCGGTGTCGTGGGGCAGGGACAGTTACCAGTTGCTTTCATGCTTCAGTTCCGTAATACCATTCTTCATAATGGTGTCACTTTACATATATTATAGGTATTTAACATGTTATCTCATATCCCATCAGCTGTGATGTACAGATAACTGCTTAGTTCAGCATCCCTAACCAGTAAAAATGAAGCAGGGACTTGGACTCCAGTCCTCTAGTACTAAATTCTAGACTCTTTACCATACGGTCTTCACACTTCTTTTAACTGTGGGCACCATTGTTCAACAGAAATCTTACTCCAGTCAGATGTTGGCTCTGACCGGTGCCAACCACTGCCACCCTGTTCCTCTTGCCCTCGGCAGCTTCTGAGGCAATGCCAGTGAATCACAGGGGGCCGGGGTGTCAGCAGCCCTGCCCCCCACATCCTCCAGGGGCGCTTGCACTGGACGGGAAGCAGGCAGCTCCGCTGGGAAAGCACAGAGGGCTCCCAAGGGGAGGGGAGGGGGAACCCCGGCTTCCCAAGTGGCCTTGGGAACACCACTGTCACTGACGGCTCCCCCTTCCTCCCCAGATCCGGAGCCACACATTGTATGCAACTACTCAAGTCTTACCGGTGCTGGAGCAGCTCCCTAGCAGCACCACCTCTATTTGCAAGAAGAGACAACGGAAGTGCAAGGGTCACTTTATGCATCTTTAGCGGTTTTGATTTTTATTTTTGGTTTATGTAAAAGCTGCTTTTTCTAATCTCCCGCCTCTCCCCACTACCCTCCTCTTAGCCACTGCCCTTCCAGCTTCACCCCTCCTCCTACCTGACCAGGCACTTCCTCTCTGCTCTTCTTCTTCCCTTCCCCACGCGTCCGTTCCCGGGGATCCGGTGAGCGGCAGGTAGAGAGAGGGGGGTATTGCAGTGGTTCAGCTGAAGGCACGATTTCCGATTTTCTTTGAAAAGCCTAACAGATGTTGGGTCAGGGTGGGAACTCAGAGCTGTTGAGCAGGCTCCATCTTTGGGGGATTGTTTCCTTTTTTTTAATTTTTCTCAAGATTAGTTTAGGGCATTACCATGTCCTGACACAAATGAAATGTCTTCTGAGAACCATCACAACAGACCAAGAACAAAACACCCGATTAGGTAGGAGTGTTCATAGGAGCTTAATATCTGTTCTCACCTGGGAAGAACAGGTTTTGGGAGGACATTTGGGGGTGGGGGGAGCACTGTGTGAGGGAAGAGGGAGGGGGTACCTGCCTGCTGGCTTTGGTTTGTAAGGCCTCCGGCTAGATTGCCTGGGCCTAGACCCTCTGATTTGCACAGTGATGTAAACTGACCTGGCACTTCCTCAGAAGGTGATTTTGACTTCAGACCTGCCAAGCAGCTGCAGGGTGGTGGGCTCCCAGGGTGGAAGGCCAGGTGCCCTGTGTAATCCAGACCTTGGCCCCTGAGCCCCCATGGACCCACTCTGATGAGGAGCCAGCTCCTGATTAGCGTGGGGACCTGTGGCATTTCTCTCCCTTCCTTCTGCCCTTCCCAGTGCCAGAGCTCACCCATCTGTCCTCGGGGCTGGCAGCAGGCCAGGCTCTTGGTTACCTTTAGCCACTCATGGCCAAAGTGAAGGAACCACATTCCAGATGGGTGCTGGCAGCTCTGAAGGTCAGAACAGTGAAGGAAAAGCAATAGCAATAAACATTTCATAGACTCATGGACCTGAAGGGACCTTAGCAATCATCTCATCCATTCCCCTATTTGACAGATGAGGAAGCTGAGGCCTGGAGAAGAGGACAGGACTTCCCTAGAGCTCGCAGTAAATTAGCATTAAATGCAGCCTTTCTACCTAGGGGCATGTTGCCCACAAAAGTTGACCTAGGGATGGATTGGCTTGGTTTTGTAAAAATTAAGTCGGCAGTGCCCACATCTGGTGAGCTCTGGAACAGTAGCTGTCAGTCTGGGTTTTTGTTTCTGTTCTTTCCCTCCCCAGACTCCAAAGGCAGGGGGAAGACGGGGCAGAGGTTGCATGGGAGCAGATGGCAGGAACAGAAATTGGAAATGAAGAAACAGCATTTGGGAATTCTGTGAATACATCTGGAATTTATGTCCTATACCTGACTCCAGCCCTAGGAGGATGAGCAGGTGGGCTGTGAAAAGGAGGGTCCATGCATTTAGGACAGCAGCGCTAATCCTGAGAGGGGAGGAGGACCAGGATGAGGCCTGAGAGATGAGGTGGCGCTGGGTCAGGAGGCCCTGCTAGGCCACCTCGGCTAGGAGCCTGGTTTGCCCCCTGCACCTAGCCCATGGCTGGGCCAGCAGCACCCCCTAGTGGGGGCAAGGACACATTTTACTGTACAGAGTGGGATCATTGATAATATTTGGGACTTTTAAATAAATTTTTAAATTCATTCAAACGTGGACATATCCCTCTCTCTACCTCCCACCACTGCCTAAAGGAGGAAAAAAACAGAAACCCTTGGGCCAGGAGGGCAGAGGCCCTCAGCCTCCTCAGCCCAGAGTCAGTTGGGGCCAGCCTTCCTGGCCTGCAGGGACTGGAGGGCCAGGCAGGAGCCCAGCTGTGGACGGTCTGTCCCGGGGGCTGAAGTTCCATTTTAAAGTTTCCCCGTGTTAATCCATGTTTTGCAAATACCTCCTCCTCTCTGGTTTAGATCATGTCCTACATATTTGGGAAATGCCAAAATAATAACAACAGGAAACCTTTGCATTTATCAGGTGCTTCATAGATTTCAGAGCACTTCACAGCCTGTGATTGACTGGCCCTGAGACAGAGCGACACGGGCAGAGTTATACCCACTGGCCAATGAGGAGCTGGTTCTAGGGGGAGAGGGAACTTGCCGAGGGAGCAGAACGCTGGCCCCGGACAGACTTCCTGAACCTGCGGCATCCAGATGGGCTGCGGAACCAGAGAGGAAGGGAAAGAGGAGACTTAGGGATGACCTTGTTACTTCTGTTCTTCTACACCAGTAAGGAGAAACTAATGTCTAGAACCTTGCAGTTCACAGAACAATTTCACATCCATCCTCTGATTTAATCCTATAAAACAGATTATTCCTCCCATTTGACTTAGGAAACAAACTCAGAAAAACAAAGTAACTTGTCTATCTGCTTTCTCTCTCCAATCTGACTTATTCACAAGCTTGCAGACTGACGCATCTATGCTCTGTACCCTCTCAGCCCTAGTATGTAACTCAATATCAAAGACAGGCCCTACGGCATAACCAAGGCAGAAAGGCCGTGTCTGAGAAGCCCAGGCCCAGCCCCCTTTTGTAGAACGCGTGCTGGAGCTTCGTTCTCTTGCTCTGATGGAGAGTCATTGCAGAGAGACTGAGCCAGGACGGGGCAGCACACCTGGCAGGCTCACAGGTGTCTGTCAGGAGGTGCCATGGGCATCATCCAAAGGTACTGGTGGCCCAGTGGTCAAGCTGGACAGAAGGTCAGAGCCAGGAGGGCCCTGTCACTGTAGAAAGGCCAGCGAGCCAGAGAGGACAGGGTGTGCCAACATGACAGTGAGCTGCAGTGCTGGCCCCGCATGCAAATCCACCTCCGCTGCCTCTCCCAGCACCACAGCTTGGTGGCCGGCGTTCAGGGTATGTTCGTGGTTCTAGTCACCAACCAACCCTTTCCCTCCCCTTTCCCTTCTATTTGACTCCCTCTCAGTAGCCTGGGGCCTAGGAAGCTGGAGTACCCCCAATCTGCCACATTTTGAAAATGTTTTAAAAATGTCTTCCCCATGAGACAGGACAATTGCTGTTCCTCTCTCTCTCCTGGTAATGTTCCTAGAGTGATACCCCCTTCCCTAAATGTTGAACAAGGACATACACCTGTCCAGAGTGTTTTCATGTACAAAGTACTTTGACATTGATTGCCAAAATACCCATCTTACAACTAAGTCTCAGAAGTCTCAAGACTTGCCAAAGGTCACAGAGCTCAAGAGAAAGAGCCAGCACTTGAACTCTCTTCAGCTTCTCTGCTCTTCTTGCCGGCACCTGCTGATTCTGAGTGGCAGGGGTGAGGAAGGGATGGCTTCCTGTCTTATCCCTCGGGTGAGGACCAGGACCTGAGACCGCATAGTCCTGATTCTTACCCCAACTCCTACCTCTGGCTGCTGGTTCCAGGTCTGAGGGATCTACGTGTCGAGGTCTGGGGTGCTGCTTTGTTCTGCGTGGCCTCCGGAGTGAGTGGTGGGACATAAAGTAGGCAGGCCTCTTGGTCACCACATTCTGGTGTTGTTCAGACAGGACTAGGCCAGTCTTAGCCAGGCCTGGAGCCCTGCATGTCAGATTCCTCGGCTCTGCTGCATGGCCCGAGAGGGAGGGCTGACAAGGCGTGGGTCTTGGGCACAGCACTCTGACCAGAAAAATGTAGATCTTACTGTGGCATTTCTCCTCGTTGTAGTTGAAAGCGTGTGGCAACTCTTGCTTTTCCATCCTGCATTCTACCACATCGCTACGGGGTATTTCTAAGCTAAGCTTAGAATCCAGAGGGGTTAGGCAGGCTCCAGGAGGAATCCAGGCCCAATCCACCGGAAAGCAGGATCACAGTAGACACTCAGCCAGGCTGACATCAGATTCTACGGGCAGGCCAGGCTAGCTGCAGCATCTGTCCTTTACCTGTTCATGCTCCCCTCGCCTAGAGAACTCATTTCTGAAATTAGGCATTACGTAGTTCCAGGGCCCAGCTGTCAAAATTTCCTGCAGGCCAGTTTCAACATTCCATAGCCAACCTTGCCTGAAGCAGACGTGGGTCCCTCTCACTCAGTTTCTTCAGTAGGTGTTTTCTGTCTTGCATGCTATTGCATCCAGCCCAGTGGCCGAGTGAGACACACAGGAGGTGGGACTGGGCGTCACAGAGCCTGACGGAAACCAGAGCTCACTTTCCTGTGGCTGCATCCCAGTCCCTAGGCCCCGGCGTGGTGGTGAGACCAGGCACCCAGTCCAGCGCCCAGTACAGGGGTGTTTTCCTTCCCGGAGAGAACAGGCAGAACAGATTTGCAGATAAGTACCACCCCCTGGGAGTCAAATGGGTGACATCATCTTTGAGCCGGACCCCAGCAAGACCAGCATCTGCAGACTCCAGCCTTCCTCCTCCAGCTGAGATTGGGAAGGGGGGGCGGCCTGAGACACCTGCTCGGGTCAGCGGATTGTCCGGCTCTAGGGTGGGACTTGAGCTTCCCCTCGCCGAGGCGGCCAGACCAGGCCTCTGCTTAGAGTTGTCTGTAATGACCTTGAAAGGCCGGGGCCTGTCCCCATCTCCTGTTTCATATCACCTGTTCTCATGGCATGTTACATCCCTGTGAGAGTGTTGTATATGATTTTGTATTTTTTAATTCATTTTAATCTACAGGTTGGAATCTGATTTTTAAATTTTATTGGAATTCACATTTTAAAAGGAAAAAAAAACATTTAAAATAATAATAAACCTTTGACCAGTGTCTTCCAAGTAGTTGATCAAAGAACTTATAGGTGTTTTCAAAACACAGCCTGGAGTGCAGAGATTGGAAAGCCCCACGGCCTCGCTTGTGTATATGAAGTGTAAATCTGGCTTGGTTTGGTTTTGGATTCTTTTGGGATTTTTGTTTTGTTTTGATCAGCTAGTGATCATTCTGAAAGATTGAAGCCAAGAATTTGTAACTATGATATTTACTGTAAGCTGTAGAACATTCAATAACTATTAAAAAGTTTCCCAAAAAAGTCTGGGGTGACCAGACTGGTGGTTATTGGGGCAGGGGACACAGACCAGTTCCTGGCCAGCGAGGCCCCGGGCTTCTTCCCAAGTCGGTTCTAAACTTGTTCTCACCAGACAGGTCACACCTACCCTGCAGGCACAGGGCGGCCGCCCTGCCACTCACCGCTGAGGGGCTGGGCAGCAGCCATCGGCACCTGGACAAAGGGGTGCCACACAGAGCACAGGGAAGCCAGGGAGATGGAGCTGCACCTCCTAGGTGCTCACTTACGTGGCTGCTGCATGTGACGCCTGGTAACAATCCTCATCGCATGATGGGAAGTGAGTCCTTTAGGCCTGCCCTCAGGAGGGACCGCAGAGCGGGTAAGTACCCTGACCGAGGTGACAGCCCGGAGGGCAGAGTTGGGACTCACTTGCCGGCTCCAAACTCCAGGCACCACCCAGAGGCGGCAATGCTGAGCTTGCTTAAAGGGTCAGCCTGTCAGGTGGGAAGCCAGGGGAGTTACGTGGTCTCCATCCAAATGTTCATCCTGAACATCTCACTCTTGTTTCCCCTCTGTCAAAGCCACTACTGCAGTCCAGGCCGGGCTCTCTCTCCCTGGTCATGGTGACCCCATTTCCTTCCAGGGCTTGGCCTCCCACAGTCTAAGCTCTCCTAGCCTCCAAGTACTCAGCCTCCTCCACTGGAGAGAGAGCAGGCCCCGGCTGGCTGGTGACCTGGCTCACACCCGGGCTGACTCCTCCTCAGCCTTCCCACCGGCCCCCGCTGTGTCCATAGCACCAGCCCCAGCTCCCCCTCCTGTGAGTTCCTGGCGAGCAGCTCAGGCAGGAGTGGGAGGGCAGGGTCCCTCTGCCCACAGGCAGTGCCAGGCTGTGCCACAGCGCTCTCCGGGGCAGGAAGGGGATTTCCCCCAGGAACTTGGCGCCAGGTCGCAGTGCAGGGCTGAGGGCCCAGGGCAGGCAGGGAAGCGGGGAACTGGGCCCATTCTGACCCCTGCAGGAAAGGGTGTGGATAGGATAAGGAATGGTCAGCCCAGATCCCCACCCTGTCCTCCACTTCCCAACCCTGCCAGTGGCCTGAGCCAGCCTTGAGCTTAACAGCTGGCAAGGCCATCAGGATTAGAGGGGACCAGCCAGGAAAGCTTCCGGGTGAGGCTGGCGTGCCGCCTCTATTGGGGAAAGGAAGAGCAAGGACTTCCTCATAGGGGAGTTACATTTGCAAGCAAAGAAACTGATCATTCAGCCCAGAAAAGACCTAAATTCTGAGTCTGATAGGTCTGCGTTTGGGGAAAGGAGCTCCTGAAGGCCAGGGTATCAGACACACCCCCACCTTGACCTCGTCCTCTCCCCCCTGGGAGCTGGCCTCAATGTCCCCAAAGGACAGTGAAGAAACTGGCCCAGCCACTTTTCCTTGTGGCACGCAGAAAATGGGGGGGGTCTGGTGGGGAGCAGTGTTTGTTGCCCCAGGTCCTAGCACCAAAGCATGTGTCCCTTAGCTGCCTGGGAAGCCCTTCCTTCTCCCCCCTGGCTGCTACCGGGCGGTGCCTCACCCCAGTGAGAGGGCGTCTGGAAGGCACGGCCTCACCCGCACCCCAGTGGGTCTAAGTCCCAGGTGAACTGAGTTGGTTGGCTGAGGAAACACTGAAACGCTAGACCCCGAGATACAGCTATCAGCTGGCAAATGAGGGAACATGCCCGTGGGTGCACGGAGATGCCTGCTAGCCCCCCACAGGGACACCCTGTCCCAGACCGAGCCTCTGGTGCTCCAGCTCCTGCTGTCCAGCCTCCGTCTCCTTGTCCCCCCCCCCCCCCCTCCCCCGGAGCGATGAAGCTTTGTCCCCTGGCTCCTCAGAGGTGCCCTTCCTTTCCTGCCCCCTCTCGCCCCTCGGGGAAGCCCCGAGAGGAGGTGGGAAAGCTGGGGTCTCCAGGCATGTCCTCCAGCCTCCCCTCAGGGCAGTGCTCTCTGAAGCGGCCAGGCCAGGCCCAGCAGGAAGGCCCCAGGAGGCCCCTCCACACTCCAGGGCCTCTTTCCTGTTTGCTTTAAGTGTGTCCCCTTCTTCCACCTTAACAACAAACACACCGAACACCAACCAGAATGAAGCTGGAAACCCTCTCTCCCTGGAGTCTTAGGGTCACACCATCCATGGCCTGGCAGTGTCAGGCTTCTGAGGGGGCTCAGCCCACTCAGCCTGACCCTGCTCTCCCCGCTCCCTGGAGACGATGCCAGCCACATCCTGTTCTAACCCAGACCCCGCGTTCCCTCTGCCTCCGCACCTCCCCCCTCCCCCGGCTAGTACTGGCAGAAATGCCGGCCTGAGTGCTTCCAGATGCTCTCACCAGATGCCCCAGGACTGCTGCGCCCCTTCCCCACCCAGCTGTCCCCTCACCAAGCCCTGGCGCTCTGTCCCAGGAACCTATTGGACCATCTGTTTCTATCCCCCACCCAGCCCCGCCTCCGCCTGGAGGTTGGGACCCCCACCCACCCAGAGCGCGCTGACTGTGCCCTCCCCCCCTACATCTTTGGAAGCTCCTTGGGGTCCCTTGGTCCCAAGAGCCTACCTGGCTGCCTTCTAATGCCCACCCACCCGGTCTCCGCACCTGCCAGGACGTGCTCCTTCCAGCCTCTCCAGCTCCTCACGTCTGTGGATGGCCGGCCTGTGCGTACGCCGTTACCTCGGTGGAGCACACTTCCCCTTCCACGCTACCCAGCCCCGGTACGTCTTACCACCTCGTCTTCCAGGCTCCCCTTCCTCCAGAGCTGTGCCCACCACAGAGCCACTAGCCCCAGGCGGCTCTCAGCCCTGGACATACGCTGGTTCGTACGATGTGGTTTAAGCGTAAAACACCAGATTTCAAAGCAGAAGCATGAGTGGCTCATTCACAGTTTTTATGACGACTGTATATTGAAGTGAAAATATTTTAGACATATTCTAGGTTAATAGAATGCATTATTGGTATCATTAAATTTCACTTGCTTTTTTTAATTTTTTTTTTTTTAACTTTTTAAAATGTTGCTATTAGAAAAATTTCAATTCCATGACACACACTTATTCCGCTGGATGGCACTGCCCAAGGGCTTCTGTGAGAACCAGGTGGGGTGAGGGGCCTCCTCCGGCCCCACGGCACCTGCTGCCAGTGAGAAGGCCCCTCGAGGGGCATGGCCTGTGCCACACCTACCGCCTGACAGATGCAGGGAGTGGACTGGCGGCCTGGGAAGAGGCACAGGGAAAAGCAGCTCCTCATGACACAACTATCCCACCTTTTATTCAACAAATGGACGGGGATGGAGACGCAAGGACAGGACAACAGCAGTTTCAATAAATAAGAACCGGGACAACAGTGGAGCCGCGCCTGCACAGCCTCTCATAAATAACCAGGTTGCTGAGCCAGGGTGGCAAGGGGCTGGGCAGTTGCCCGCACTGCCCACACCAAGGGACACACACCAACACCACAGGGACACAGACCTACGTCAGCGGTGCCTCCCCCAAAGCTCCTGAGGCCTTGGGGGTGGCTGGGCCCCACCCAGGCCAAGTCTGTTTTATCGATTTAAATAAATACAAACAGCAGGGCAGGAGGCAGGCACATGCATGAAGCCCCTTCTGAAGGCAGAGCCATGGGCAGCCCCGTGGGGGCCTTGAAGGCAGAGGCCCTGGAAGCAGCAAAAAAACGGGGCCAGATAAAGCTACTAGTGGGAGGGGCGGCAAGGAGGTAAGCTCTCACCACGACACAGCCAGAGCTGTAGGGAGCTGGGAGGCCCTGGGCCCTGAGACTTCACAGTCAGAGAGGGGGGACCCAGGGACTTGCCGGGATTAGAATCCCAGATTCAGACTCCCTGCCTTGGCGTTTTGTTGCCCCTCCCTTCACGGGTCCTGCTGGAAGGGGAGGGGGAGGCACATCTGCTCTGGGGCCCTGGACAAAGGCAGGATCTGGCCAATTACCAAGGGGCCCCTCCCACCATCAAGGCCTGGCCTCCTGGTGGGACCGAGGACTCTATGGATCCTGGGATCTGACCAGGGCACAGGGTCAGGGCATCCTGCAGGGAAGGAGGAACTGGGTGGCAGGGACGGTGGCTTTCCACTTGCTCCTGTGCGCTGCGCCTGCCGCGGCCTCCTCCCTGAGGCAGATGCTCCCACCTCCAGCCTTTGCCGTTTGCGGGGCCACTGCTGCTTGATCCATTGCTGCAGCTCCACCTCCTCCAGGAAGCCTTCGGGGGCCTCCCAGGACAGGGCTGCGGGGTCCTCAGCCAAGACGGCCCTCAGATGACCAGGTTGCTCTCGCTTAGCCGGACCACATAGCGGCTCTCCTGGGGGACAGGAGCGAGCGGTCAGAGCCGAGGCTCCAGGAGAGGGGTCCCTGCCCCTCCATTCCTGCCCCCTCTGCAGGCAGGGCAGACACTCCCCCTCCGCGGCCCTCACCTCGGCCTTCTTCTCCGTTGGGGGCTTTGGCCACTTAGCATGGCTCCCACTGCTTCCCAGCAGTGCCCGCTGCTCAGAGGGGAGGCCAGGCTGTGGGGAGTCAGCGAAGTCGCCCACGGAGGGCCCGACCTCCGTGATGGTCTTCACCTCGGAGGCCCAGGAATTTGTCCGCTGCTCGGGAATTCGGGCCACACGGAACCTGTGGAGAGAGGTGGGGCGATCATTCCCCCGTTAGAGGGAGAACCCCAAAGTAGAGGAGGCAGCTCCTGCTACGGTCTCACAGCAGGCCCACAGGTCAGAGCCTGAGCCCTTCCCACACCCTTTTATCCACAGAGGAGCCCCCAGCCCTACTTTGTAGGTAGACAGGCCCTTGGCCTGAGGGCCCCGGTGTGACAATAGCCAGGATCCCGCCCCAGGGCTCAGGTGGGAGCCCCGCGGCCCAGAGGCTCACTGGGCCAGGAAGGGAGGTAGGGGACTCGGGGTTCAACCTGGGGCCCTGCTTCCCCCCGCCCCCGCCCTGGCCGTCCTCTCTCCCGGGCCCTGCTGCGCCTGTGCCCACCTCACCTGCCCACAGACAAGATGGTGATCTCGCCCTGGCGTCCGGCCTTGGCCCCGGCCTTGGGAGCCCTGGCCGGGTTGGGCAGGAGCCTGGAGGTGGGAGCGGTGGCAGCCGCAGCCTCGGGGGACAGCAGCACCTCGGGCCACTTCTGGTTACAGCGGGAGCAGCAGAGGCCGGAGAGCGAGGCCAGGCCCTGCACGGTGTGGAGGTGGTGGTGATGGGGGCACATGTACGGCACGCTGGGGGGCCTGGGCGGCAGCCTAGGGAGGGCACAGGCGGCAGCGGTCAGCGGGGCAGACCGGGACCTGGGGACCACAGGAGGTGGGGAAGGCAGTGGAGGGACGGGGGAGGGAGCATCCCCAGGTGGCGAGGCCCAGGAAGTGTGCGGATTCGCTGTGTGTGGGCTCTCCTTACCACCCGCCCGCTCACCTGGGCACAGGTTTGTGGCTGGTCTGCACCAGCTGCTTGCTGTGGTACTCCTTCAGCAGCTCCTCCAGGGCCGCTGCGTTCTCTGTGGGCAGCTGGAGTCAGAACCCGGCTCTGGGCCGTGAGGGGCACTCCCCCAGGACCCCCCGTCTCAGGACCAATCCCCACACCTCCTCCTGGCCTGGGCACGTGCCTTTTCCTCCACCTCTAGCCACCTCCCCAACTAGGCAAGAACAGGAGGGAGAGAGGCAGCACCACCCATCACACAGGTCAGAGGGAGGCTGGCCCGTGACCTGGCAGGAGGAGATCTGACCCCCGAGGCTGCCTCGCGGGCTCCGAGAGGACAGGCGGACCTCCTCCTCACCTTTCTTCTCCGTGATCAGGCGCACCAGGACCCCGATGGTGTCCTCGTTGGCCTCCTCAGCCCCGTAGGCGGGGTTGTTCCCTGGGGTCAGGAGAGGAGGACTGTGATTCCGGGGAAGTGAGGAGGGTGGAGCCCCAGACTCCGGAGCCATACCAACATGTGGCAGCAGAGGGCGCACCACGCCTTCCCAGGGGCAGGGCTTCCAGCCTGGGTGTTTACAAACCCGTTCCAGGCGCAGAAGCTCCGAACTCAGCATCACTGCCCGCGCCCCGCCTTCCCCCCTGCGCCTGCGGCACCCAAAGTCCCGGTGCTTAGCCGTGTCAGGCCATCGGAACCCTACAGTTCCTGCAGAGAGTGTGAGGGCCGGGGCAGCCCTGCTGGGGCCTGTCCTCTCCCCCCTCAGCCAACAACTCCTGCAAGCACTGCCAATTCCAGGCCTAATGCCTCCCTGCACACCCTCCTGTCTCTGAAGCACACGCAGGGCTGCAGGCCAGCTTAGGGCCCAGGCCTCAAGGCATTGACAATGGGCCACAGGCTGGGTCCTGGGCCAGCAGCAAACAGCTCCTCGCACTGTGCCCGGAAGCAGCCAGCAGTTTAAGTTCGTCCTAGGCTAGGGAACAAGGGAATCCCAGGCGAGGTGGTCTGAGTTCCAGGCCTAAAGCTTCGGTCTCCTCACACACACACCCCTCTCCCCCTGACTTTACTGTCAGGAGTTGGGAAGGGCTCTGGCCTGCCTCACATTGGTCACAAGGTCACCTACGCGCACATGCCCTCCTGCCTTCGGGTAGAGTGGGTGTGGGGAGGAGGCAAGGGGCCCAGGGCCCTGGGGTGGGGGTGGGAGGAGCACACATCTCCCTTTGGTCTCGGACTCATAGCTCAAACCACAGCCTGGAAGCCCAAGCCTCGCCTGGCGCCTGCCCAGGACAGCTGCCCTTCTAGCCCTTCAGGCCAGAGGTCAGAGGTCACTTTGAGGATCAAGAAGGCAGTCAGCCGAGACCGGTTTGGCCCAGTGGTGGAGCGTCGGTCTGCGGACTGAAAGGTCCCAGGTTCGATTCCGGTCAAGGGCATGTACCTTGGCTGTGGGCACATCCCCAGTGGGAGGTATGCAAGAGGCAGCTGGTCAATGTTTCTCTCTCATCGACGTTTCTAGCTCTCTATCTCCCTCCCTCTCTGTAAAAAAATCAATAAAATATATTAAATTAAAAAAGGACACTTAAAAGAAGAAGGCAGTCAGACCGACCCTCGAACCACACACAAAACCGTGGCCCTGAAGAGTTCAGACCCCGTCAGCCGGGCGTGGCCTCCCCCCAAAGGGGGAATCCCAGCCTCTTAACCCGCTCTGTCCGTCACCACCCAGAGCCATCTCACCCTCCCTTCTCCCGCTCAGTCTGCAGCGTCTCCCGTGCAGCACCTCCGGGGAGCCCTCCCGGTTGGCCCTCCGCAGGCCTCTCCCCGTCAGTCAGACCAGACCCTCCGGCCGCGCCGGCCGGCCCCTCCGCCTCCCCTCCAGGACCCCGGCCAGCCTCACCGCTGCCGCCGCCTCCGCCTCCGGGGCCGGGCCCCACCTCCTTGTTGGCGGTGCAGTGGTAGCCCTTCCGCTTGAGCAGGTTGCACACCAGGATGCCCAGCAGCCCCATGAGGCAGAAGACGGGCACGATGGCGATGACCGCGTACGGGGCCGCCGTCTCCTCGGGGCCGCCCGCCCGCGTGCCGTTCCCGGGCGGCCGCGCCTCCCCGGCGCCTCTGGCCCCCGCGGCTCCCTCCGCGCCACGCCGGGTCCGCCTCCTCCGCCCTGGGCACCGGGGGCAAGACAGAGCAGAGAGAATCACCGGGAGACCGGGGCCGAGCAGGGCGTGCGTGTGCGTGTGTGTGTGTGCGTGTGCAGGTGCTGACGTGTTCAGAGCTGTCCGCTCCTTGCCATGTTGGGGAAACACCTACAACGCGCCCCCGAGCCCCTCCTACTTGGCCATCTGGTCAGTCAGCCTGAGCAAGGCCCCTTCAGGCTGCAGGGCGGTCAGAACCACACCCCCCTCCCCCCTCGTCACCCCTCCTGCTGGGGCAGAGGAATGAGCGGGTGGCACCTGTGTGCATGCCTGGGCACAGGGACACTGGGTCCCGCCTCCCCCTGACCTGAGTTAGCTGACCCAATGGGTCAGAGGAGGTGCGTGTGTGCATGTGAACAAGCATGTGCGCGCACACTCATCTGCATGAGTTTTACGGGGATGAGGATGGGGACACGGGTCAGGATGTGAGCCCTCCCGCTGGGTGGTCTCTGCCTCTCAGAATGACCGGGGCTAATGGACAGGCCGGGGAACAACTGGCCACGCCCCGCTGGACACCCCTGGCTGTTCACCTTCCCGTGAGCTGAGGGAGGGAGGACCCTGCTGCCCTGGATGGACACTATGGGGGTGCCTGGGCTCAAGCTCACCAGACCCCTCCCACACACACGTGCCCCGGGCCCGTCTGCCACTCACCGTAACACCCGCGAGGACCCAGCGCTGGCCCAGAGCACGGCTGACAGGGGACCCGGGGCACCTCCGAAGGGGCAAACCACCTGCGGGGGGAGACGTCACTGAGACCCAGCACCTTCCTCAAGAGAGACTGGATGCCTTCCTGCCGGACACCCACGCTGGTCCTGACCCATCCCGTTTCCAGGTGGGAGGACTGAGGCCCGCTCAGGGCTGGGGAGGCTGGGGCCAGGCCACCCGGCATGAGCTCCCGCCCCGCCCCATGGCTCACCCAGGCCGGCAGTCTCCACATAGTGTGTCTTGAGTCACCGTGCCCGCCCGGGCCTCCAGCCTCCCTCGAAGGCTGCAGCGGGAGTGGGACTGGCAGGGGCGAGAGCCCCACGCGGCCGAGAAGGTGCCCGGGGGGCAGGCCCTGCACAGTGCGCCCTGGCCCGGGGCCTGTGGGAGGGAGAGGGTGAGAACGAGCGCCCTCGGCCCTCGGGAGTCTTCCTAGGACAGGGCGGGGCCGGGCGAACTCACCAGCTCGGGCTCCTCCCCCGGGGGGCACTGCCACGGGGTCGTTGACGTTGGCATAGCCAGAGGCCAGGGCAGCAGCTGGAAGATCAATGGGCAGAGCACACACTGAGCAGGAAGCACTGGGCCACAGCATCTCTAGGCTGTCTCCCCACCACCGCTTCCTGACGCCCAGGCCTCAGGGACCCTCTCTGCCCGCACCCCCGTCCCAGGTAGAGCCTGCTCGTCCCGGACCTGCTGCCGGCCGGGGCCCGGGAGGGAGAGCCCATCGGTGCTGAAATGCTGGAAAGCCCGGATAGGCCGGCTCAGGGTCTCCAGCCCTCCGGCCTCTGAGTCACACCTCTCCCTCCTCCAGGATGAGGGGGATGCTTCCGAATTCCTCTCTGAGTTCCGCCGGCTTCCTGCTGCCTTCCTCCCCCCCCCCCCCCCCAACACACACAGCTGGGCCTGTCATCATCCCCGCTCATCATCCCCAGGGCAGACCTGCAGCTGGCACTTCCTACTCCGGGCCCTGGCCCGTCTCCAGCCCCACATCCTCCTCCGTGACCTCCCCATCGCCCAGGCCGCCCTGGGCACACCGGGCGGGACGTCCCAGGAAGGGTCTGTGCCTCGTGCCCCAGCCCGTTCGCTGGGAGCTCCCTCTGCCTCCCTTCTAGGTGCGAACTGTCTGCCCTGAACCCTGTGCTGTGTGGAGACCCCTGTCTCCGACTTTGCTTTGGGGGAGGCAGGGGCAGACAGAGCCACCTTCCTGAGGGGCAGAGGGAATGTTACGTAGGAGGCTCTGGGGACCCCCTCAGGCCCAGGCAGCAGGTCAGTGTGGGCCAAGGGGCCTGTTCCTCCCGGGAAGAGCCGAGGACCGAGCATGCCCAGCACGGCTCCTGAGGGCCCTGACGCCCCACCTCCTCGGGGGCCGGGTGCGGGGCCCGGGCCCGGCTCTTCTGTGTCCCCACCACAGCCCCATCCCGACTCACCATGAGGAAGCAGGACAGGGGCCAGTGTGGCGGAGGGCTCAGCTTCATCCTCAGCTTCATCCTCGGCTTCCTCAGGCCCTGGGGTCCCCGCCTAGGGCAGACGGGGGGGGGGAGGCTCAGGAGCGAGAACAGCCGCTCCCAGGACAGCCGGGTGGGGAGCGTGAGGTGCTGCTGGGCCACAGAGCTCTGGCGAAGCCGGTCTACCCTCACTGGCACCCCTTCCGCCCTCAGGCCTGAGCAGAGCAGGGGGTGCCCCCCGGGGCCCGCCTCCCCGGCAGCACAGACTGGAGGGGGCCTCCCAGGGGTCCAGGTGCCTGTGACTGAAGGAAGGAAGCCTGTGACTGCCTCCCTGGGGTGGGGGTAGGAGAGCTTGCACCCACCCGCCCCCTCCTCTCAGGCTCCTGCTCCCCAGGACTCCACTCGGGCCTCCAGCACGCCCCTCTCCCGCCCACTCGCGGCCTTCACTCTGCTGCTCCCGCTCAGAGAAGGCCCTTCCTTTCACCCTTCACAGCCTCAATTCCAGGCAACTCTCCCCAGAAGCTTCTCTAGACCACCTCTCCCCAAAGCTCCTGCATGCACCCCCAGCCCCATCACAGTCCCGGCCCTCTCCTGTGTCCACTGTCCGCCCCCGCTGACTTCTCCACAGGACCTGGGGGAGGCGCTGGGGGTGGTGCTGGTACCCAGCCCTCAGCCTCCCTCCTCCCCTGGGCACCTACTGTGCGCCAGGCACAGGAAATAACATGAGTGTGAACGAGACGGACCGAGTCCTGTCCTCCGGGAACTCACACGCAGGGCTGACCGATGGCCGGCTGGCTAGTGTCCCCGTGCCAGGGGCACGGGCCCGAGAGCCGAGTGGCCAGGGGCAGGGTGGGATCGGCAGAAAGGATGAGCTCAGACAACAAGAGGGAGTTCCCACTGTCCCTCCAGGCTCCGGAGGGCGAGGGAATCTGTGCGTCTGGCCAACGCCGGCCAGCTGGGGCCTCTGAGCCCTGAGGGGCGGCACCGGAGAGCCAGCCACGCCCCTGGGGCCCCAGCAGGCGGAGGGGCCCTGCCCGGTGCCCGCGCTGTCTGCCGCCACGCTCCGTGGGAGCCCCTCAGCCTGCGGTGGCCTGGAGGAACCGGAGGAAAGCGATCGGCCTCACTGAATGGCCTGGCCCAGCACCCACCTGGCAGCGGGGCAGTCACACCATGGGGGGAGGGCGAGGGGCCGCGGCCTCACCATGGGACTCTCCAGGTGCCAGCCCCCGGCCAGCTCCGGGGAGAACCTGGGACAGAGTGTCGGGCCAGAGAGAGTGAAGGCTGCACCCTGGCAGTCAGCACCCGACAAGTGACATCTCTGACCTCTCCCCACCCCATCCGCCCCCTCCCACTCTGTCACAAGTCTTCCTTTCCAGCGTCTGCCCCGCCGTCTACCCCACCGTGAGCCTTCACTCTGCCCGGCAGCTCCCCCTTACGCCTCCTCCCCACGGCCGCCCCCAATGTGCTCACAGGCCCTCCCCCACAGGCTGCCCTGCCCGGCCACCAGGCCCAGCGCCCCTCCGTGGCCTGGGGTGGGCTCAGAGGCCGGGCAGGAATGAGCCGGAAGGGGCACAGCAGCCACACCCCGTCCCGCCCGGGCCCTGACTGGCACCTGCGGGGCGACCGGAGCCCCGGGGAGGGCTGTGCGGCGGCTCCTCTCCAGACGACGGGGAGCTGTGATCTCGAGGCTTCCGGGAGCAAAATGGGGGTCCCAGACACGAAACCAGCGAGGACCCACTTGGGCGCATTCGCAGACACTCGAGCCGCCTTCCAATTACACACCTTCTAATTAGCCCAACCCGGCACTTACCCCCGTCTGGCCCCGAGCCTCTGCTTACCATGCCTCCCCGCCCCACACTCAGCCCAGACTGAGCCCCCACGGGCCTGCCCAGTCAGGCAGCCGCCAGCCGGCGGCCTCCCCACCAGGACTCCCGCCTGGAAGCCCGGAGCCCCCGGACCTCCATCACAAAGCAAGCTCAGACCACAGCCCCAGCTGGGTGGGGGCTGGTCCTGGAGGCCCAGCGGTCAGTGACTTCCCCAGGCCTGCACCTCCCGGGCTCCCTGGCCAGGCAGCTCCTGGCAGAGAAGCCCTGGGGCCCAGGGGCAGAGGAGGAAGTGAGCGTGGAGGCCCCTCCTCCCAGAACAGAGCCTCCGAGGGGGGCCCACCGACGCCCTGCCCTGGGGGACGCAGCCCCTACTTCACTCCTCAGCGCCCTCTCCCCACGTGGGCATCGCCTCCGGGCGCGGCGAGGGTTAAACGAGGTAACTGCGAGCCTAAAGTAGGTCGCGGGAGTTCCTCCCCAGAGGCCCTGCTTTCCGGGCACCTCCTGCCCAGGCAGGTAGTTAAGCATTGGTTTGCTGCATATTTACTGTGTGCCCCCGCCCCACCCCCACCAGACAGCAGCAGGGGCAGGGCAGGGGCAGGGACGCTGTCTCATTCACCACAAAACCCTCCCCAGCCCCGTCTGGGACAGGAGGCCTCTGCCCAGCAGGCTCCCAGGAGCAGGGGCTTCCTCACACTCAGCCCCGCCCGGCCCCGCCTCCAAAAATACCCCAACTTTCAGAACCAGAAATTCCCTGGAAGAAGGTCAACTCACAAAGCCAGGGGGACCAGGGCCCCTGAGGCCAGGGAGGCGCAGCCCCGGAGTCAGAAAGAGGAAGCCGTGCCCCCACCCGGCCTGCAGCTTCCCCTTTCCCAGAACTGCAGCCCTGGGGTCACGGGGTCACGGGCACCCAGCCCCTCACCCGCCTCGCCCCCCCCCATCATCGCCACCAAATCCGGAAGGTCTCCCGGCCTCATGCCCACCCCAAGACCGCCTACCTCCAGCTCTGCCCCACCTGCCACCGCGAGGCGTCTTAGTGAGACGGGCCCAGCCCCACCCACTCCCGCGGCTCCCAGCGCCCGGCTGTCAGTCCCCACACTCGCCTCTCACCCCAGCGCTGTATCTGCTGTTTCTTCTGCCCAGAAACACCCTCCCGTCACCAGGCCCACACCTACTCTTCCTTCGAGCTCAGCTCACAGGCACTTCCTCCTGGAAGCCCCCGCGCCCCTCCCGAGTAATCATCCTGTGCGCGACCATCCTGTTTACCAGCCCCTGGCCCGGCCCGCCTGGCCGTGGGGAGAAGGCGCTGAACTCTCAGGAGAGGCTCCAGCTCCTGCCGCCATCAGGAGGGCCAGAGAGCGGGCTGAGATCAAGGAGCCCAAGGCTGGGGCGAGGTGGCGGTGAACCTGGATCTGAACCCCTGGGCTCACTCGGGGAGACCCCGCCTGACCTGCTTGCTCTTCCCTGGACCTGTGGACCGCCCCCCACACATACACACCACACGGGGGGCTGATGAGGGAATTCACACGAACAAACGACTCAGCAGAGGCCTGGGACGAAGCAGGCTCTGTTTCCCACAAGCACGCACGGAGGGGCAGGTGTGAGGTACAGACCAGATTCCCTCACTCGTGTGTGATGCCTGGCACAGACCCTGGCACAGGAGGTGTGGGCGGGCCCTGGGGGGAGACTGGGAGGTGGGACGGTGTAGGAAGGGAGAGGGGTCTGGAAGGCAGCGCCCAGGTCACACCGAGCCCAGCAGGGATGCAAGCTGGGAAGCTTGTGCTTCCCCACCGGGGCCTACGGGAGCCCAGAGGGCGGCTGGGAGGAGCAGGAATGGAGTGCCGCATAGAGCCTCTGCCAAGAGAAGCCGGCCTGGGGAGCCGGAGGGGAGGGAGTGCCCACCTGGGCAGGCAGGGGAGGCGGGTGACTGTTTCCCAGCCCTCCGGCCGAGGACCCCCCTGCGGCCTCTGGAGGCTGGGGTTGCCTGGAAACACAGCTGGATGCGGTCCCCTCGCCCCCTCAGCGGCAGCGGCAGCGGCAGTAGAGGCGGGAAGACAAAGGCCGCGTCAATAGCGAATCCAGGTTAGCGAGGAGCCTGGCGGTTCCCTGGCAACTGGGGCTGAAGTAGGGCAGTGCCCGCAGTGGGCGGCGGGGACAGCGAGGCGTCTCCGCCTTCCCCTCCTCCATCCTCAGAGGGAGGTAAGCGGCCCTCGCTCCCCTGAGCCAGGCCCTCAGGAGGGAGGCGCACCCCTTTTACACCCGGGAACAGCTGCTTGTGCGATCACACAGGCGTCAGGTGGTGGAGCTGGTGGGGCAGGTCTGCCTCACTCTGTTTCCCACCTCACGCCTGGCCCCATCCCTGAGCCCCGCGCAGGGCCTGGCACACTCACTGCAGGTGTCCTCAGGGCGCCCACCAGCCTGGGGGCCGAGGCCAGGCGGGAGGGCCACACAGCACCCAGACGGGCTCAGGGCAAAGGGACTGCCCCTCCCCAGAGTCTCCGGGCCCCTGAGGTTCCTCCGCTTCTGTGCTCAGCTGCACTGCTGTCTGTCCCAGCTCCAGGGAACGGTGCTGTGAGGAGGGGGAAGCTCAGGGAAGCTGGGAGTTCCTGGAGAGGAGCGGGGAGCAGAGGTGCCGGGGGGAGGCTCCCAGGGCTGCTGGCAGGCTGGGCCTGGAGACCTGCAGAGGCTGCCTCAGGCCACTCAGGGAGAAGGGCACCCAACGCACAACCCTGGGTGAGGCCCCATGCAATGCTGGCTGGCCTCTAACACTGCTCCCTGGCCCACCTGGGGGCCGGCCTGTTTCTCCCCTCAGAACTGCCAGCAGGCCTGGGAGGCTGGGGGGGAGGTGCCGTCGGGGGGGAGAAGGGCCTGATAGGGCGGAAAGGGCTGAGGCAGCCAGCCCAGGCCCTCAGCTGCTCCGGTCTGGGTCGGTGCAGACGCTGTGCCGATGCTGTGCCTGCCCCTTGCCTGGGCGGAGTCGGGCAGGTGGGGCGGTTTACAGCCAGACAGTTGTCTCCGGGGCAGAGCGGGGACTCCCCAACAGCATTTCCTGCACACCTCGTTCCCTTTCCAGGCCGATTTCACGGAACCCCTCAAAGGCAGGGCTCCAGGCTTCACCAATGAGTGAACGGAGGCCCTCTAAGCACTTGCTGCCTTGGAGACAAGGCTGAGCCCCCCTCCCCCCCCCCGGAGTGGGAGCGGGCAGCGGCCACACCGCCCGGGCCTGGCATTCCCGCGGCTCCCGCGTGTCCTGCTCGGCCACCTGCCATCACGCCGCACCGCGGGCTTCCTGCTCGGGCCAGGCAGGGCGGCTGGGCCACCCCAGGCGTCTGGCTTGGCCCTCCAGACAGGATGGCAGGGGCCGGGAGGGCTGGAGGGCGCCTCACTGCACTCCCATCTGCTCTTGCTACCTCCTCCTCCTCTGAGAAGCCACCTTTGCCCCCCCCCCCTGGCCACACAGCTGGTACCGCACCACTCATGTGCCAGGGCAGCCTCCCCACACATCCCCCCCGTCCGCTCAGCACAGGCCTGTCCCCTCACCCTGGCCTGGCCCCCTTCTCCATCTCCTCCCGACTTGGGCTGCTGGGGACAGAGACCTTCCACGATCACCCAGTGGCTCGGGGGTGGGCAAGGGTGCTTTAGGGACCCCACATCGAGCCCAGGGGCGTGGGCGGAAGACCTGGGTGCCCATTTCCCACCCTATGCAGTCCTGGGCCACCTGCTCCGTGCTAGCTGAGCCAGGCAGGAGGTGAAGGTGCTGAGCAGTCAGGCTCCTGTCTCCGAGCCTCAGTTTCCTCCTCTGTAATTCTGGGCAGCTGTGCCTGCTCAGCTGACCTCCGGGTGTGGCTGGAGGACCCAGAGTTCACTGGGGGACAGTGGTTCTTGTTACAATCAGACCTCAGCACAGGAACCACCTCCTGCAGGAAGCCTTCGCTGTCAGGGGGGCCCTCCCCCTCCCCCTCCCCTCCCCTCTCCCCTCCCCCTCCCCTCTCCCCTCCCCTCTCTTTTCTCTCCTCTCCCCTCTCCCCTCCCCCTCCCCTCTCCCCTCCTCTCTCCCCTCCCCCTCCCCTCTCCCCTCTCCCCTCCCTCTTCCCTCTCCCCTCTCCCCTCCTCTCTCCCCTCTCCCCTCCTCTCTCCCCTTCCCCTCCCCCTCCCCTCTCCCCTCTCTCCTCCCTCTCCCCCTCCCCCTTCCCCTCCCCTCTCCTTTCTCCCCTTTCCCCTCTCTTTTCTCTCCTCTCCTGGCCTCTTCAGCCATCCTTGTTTGTGGTCCCCCCCCCCCCCCCCGAGGGAGGGAGGCAGGCGAGTCCATGCAGGTGGCTGGACCCACAGGAGGGCCAGGTCCCACCCTGAGCTCGCTGCTCCCGCTCACAGTGAGGCTGTGCAGCTCCCACATCCCTCCTCCTGGGGCCCTCCTCTCTCCTCCCTCCTCCCCCCTCCCCGCGCACACACACACTCAGACCCTGCCTCCCGCTGGCTGCGAGGCCCCTCCGTCCCCTCCCGTCTGGGCCAAGCGGCCAGGGCACACTCAGGGCCACAGGGGCGGTTTATTTATAGAGCTCGCTCTCATCTTTCCCAGGGCGGCCCGGGGAGGAGTGCTGGCCTTCAGCGGACAGGCCCGGGTTAGGATCCCAGTGTCACCAGGCCTGGCAGGTCCCTTCCCCTCTGGGCCTTCCTTCCCCTGCCTGTCCCTGGAGGGGCTCACAGGCTGATCCTCTGGGCATGCGCTAAGGATGTGAGACGCACGGGGTCCTCATCCCAGGGCTGCGCACACAGTAGGGACACAGCCATCACTTCCCTCCTGTCTCCCCTGCTACCCTAGTCCCAACTGGCGGCCGTAAGTCCCGGCCGAGGCACCCAAGGGCTCCGCACAGAGTGGGTGCTGACCTCTGCCACATCCACATCCTGGTTCCCAAATCCCGAATGGGGGTGGGGCTAGATGGGTCCCGCCAGCTGATCTCAGGAAAAACTGGAAGAAGGGCTGGCCCCATAGCCCAGGGAGCCTGGCCTGACCCAGCCAGGCCAAGTGCTGAGCAGCCAGCCCCACCAGCACTTCCTCCCCCTGACACCCCCCTCCCTCCCG